AAGGGTTTGATATAGCCTGGGTGTCAAGGGTTTGATATAGCCTGGGTGTCAAGGGTTTGATATAGCCTGGGTGTCAAGGGTTTGATATAGCCTGGGTGTCAAGGGTTTGATATAGCCTGGGTGTCAAGGATTTGATATAGCCTGGGTGCCAAGGGTTTGATATAGATGGGTGCCAAATGATTTGGTTTTTCAAAATAAAAAAAGAATGATATAATAGATTTTAAGCAAAAGGAGTGCTCAGCAGTGACCTAAGGTAGACGCTATCTGGTGGGCAGTGGCTCTCCTCTCTGGCATAGACGCTATCGAATGGGTAGTGGCTCTCCTCTGCGACATAGAAAAGCTCTCCAAATGCCCCCATATTATATTCAGTTTTCAACATGATAGGACCCATAATCTTAGCCACTTCTTTTAACCTTAGCCACCTCCTTTAATCTTAGCAACCTTCCATAACCTTAGCCACTCTAATAATCTTAGCCACCTCATATAACCTTAGCCTTTTCTAAAAATCTTAGCCACCTCATATAACCTTAGCCTCTTCTAATAATCTTAGCCACCTCATATAACCTTAGCCTCTTCTAATAATCTTAGCCACCTAATATAACCTTAGCCTCTTCTAATAACCTTATCCACCTCCTATAATTCTAGCCACCTCCTTTAATCTTAACCATGCACCTCCTAAAACCTTATCCACCTAATATTTTACAGTCGCTTTCTTAACATTGTTACGATAAAATATGTGTAGGGCGGAATTAGATGTCTCGTAATGAGTTGTATTTTAATGGTGAGTTTGAATAAAATAAAACGCTCAGAGAATAGCGTAACCAGCTACATCGATGAGATGCTATTCATGCCCAGAGAATAGCCTAACCAGCTAAATCGATGAGATGCTATTTATGCCCAGAGAATAGCGTAACCAGCTACATCGATGAGATGCTATTCATGCCCAGAGAATAGCGTAACCAGCTACATCGATGAGATGCTATTCATGCCCAGAGAATAGCGTAACCAGCTACATCGATGAGATGCTATTCATGCCCAGAGAATAGCGTAACCAGCTACATCGATGAGATGCTATTCATGCCCAGAGAATAGCGTAACCAGCTACATCGATGAGATGCTATTCATGCCCAGAGAATAGCGTAACCAGCTATATCGATGAGATGCTATTCATGCTCAGAGAGTAGCTTAACCAGCTACATCGATGAGATGATATTCATGCTCAGAGAGTAGCGTAACCAGCTGCATCGATGAGATGCTATTCATGCCCAGAGAATAGCGTAACCAGCTACATCGATGAGGTGCTATTCATGCCCAGAGAATAGCGTAACCAGCTACATCGATGAGATGCTATTCATGCTCAGAGAGTAGCTTAACCAGCTACATCGATGAGATGCTATTCATGCTTAGAGAGTAGCGTAACCAGCTGCATCGATGAGGTGCTATTCATGCTCAGAGAGTAGCGTAACCAGCTACATCGATGAGATGCTATTCATGCTCAGAGAGTAGCGTAACCAGCTACATCGATGAGATGCTATTCATGTCCAGAGAGTAGCGTAACCAGCTACATCGATGAGATGCTATTCATGCTCAGAGAATAGCGTAACCAGCTAAATCGATGAGATGCTATTCATGCTCAGAGAATAGCGTAATCAGCTACATCGATGAGATGCTATTCATTCTCAGAGAGTAGTGTAACCAGCTACATCGATGAGGTGCTATCCATGCTCTGAGAGTAGTGTAACCAGCTACATCGATGAGATGCTATTCATGCCCAGAGAATAGCTTAACCAGCTACATCGATGAGGTGCTATTCATGCTCAGAGAGTAGCGTAACCAGCTACATCGATGAGGTGCTATTCATGCCCAGAGAATAGCTTAACCAGCTACATCGATGAGATGCTATTCATGCTCAGATAATAGCGAAACCAGCTACATCGGTGAGACGCTATTCACGCTCAGACAATAGCGTAACCAGCTACATGTATGAGACGCTATTCATGTGGGTTTTTTTTCAAACTGCACCCTATTTTTAAGATCCATTTAGACGTTGGACTTAGTGAACCATGAGAAGTAAGTTGTTTTATTAGTACTCATCGTGCTGGCTGCCATGAATTTACTTGAGATTCTCTGGACTCTGTCACCATCTCAGTTCGGGATGATACAAAACAATTCTCTTGTCTTAGTTGTTCCGAATCGATCCCTAGCTTCCCTAAAGCATGTGCTGAGCAACTGGCAATTTTAATAACTTTAAAAAAAATTCTGTTAATTGGTTTTTAACTTTAAAAAAGAAATAGCTTAACGTTAGAACTTATTTCTTATGGTTTTTTTTATATGAGAATTACGCCACCAGAGATTATTTAATGCTTAGATAAAGTCACTTTGTTAACGCATATTAACATACAAGGGCGTAGGAAGGTGGATTAAAGGGGTGGCCCTACCCAGGTGGCTTTTCTTTTAGGGTGGTATTTTTAATCTGCATTCTTGTTTGCATTGTGGTATTAGTAAATTGGGGGCGGGATAATCGATGGCAGCCCGGGGCGTCACAAAGTCTAGTTACTCCCCTGTTTATATAGTAACAGAATTAGGACCTAACTGGATTATTTTGATTTTTTTTTTTTTACATTTCCCAGACATTATATGTAGTGTAAAAATACCCACAATGCACTATTAATATAACATGTTTATTTTAGATATCTGAGGTGGGCGGGGCGCATTCTATTGTAAATATAAAAATAAGCATCTCTCCTTGTATGTGTCGGTTAAAAAAAGAAATGAAAATGTTGGCTTTCGTAGATACGATTGTTAAAATAAATGTCAAAATATGTATTCATGTCAAAACGTTTGACTTCGAGGCTATATTTACCCCGTGCAACAATGCATCGCTGTAAATGTGGGAGATGTCATAGATAGTCTCAGAGAGTTCACACAACATGGTGGAGATACCACACCAGGCACGATATTTAAAATGGCAGCCGGTCACAAATTCGTGGCACTGACAAAATCAATTTAATTTAAAAAATCAATTAATTAAAATCAATTAAACACAAAATCAATTATTAACAGTGGAGCAAATAAAGTGACCATAGGCCTGAAAAGCATGTGTTGCTTTTGAAATAATAAAGAAATGACATAAACGCATAGCCCTCCCTGGTGGGCCACTTCCGTCCCTGATAGACGAATAGAAATACAAAGAATGGTGTGCGTTTAATAGAGCTGCATGCTATCTGAAATTGACAGGTACATTGGGGAACAAAAATGACCATCCTATTTAAATTACTTTAAAAACTAGTGACAAGTTACCAAACTATTAAAATTACTTTAAAAATTGGTCTGAAATTTAAATAATGTTTACATTACTTTAAATATCGGTCTCAAATTACCATTATATTTACAGTACTTTAAAAAATTGGTCTCAAACGACCACCATATTTACATCACTTTTAAAAAATGGCTCTCAAGCAACTATCATATTTACATTACTTTAAAAAAATGGCTCTCAAGCAGCCCTCATATTTACATTACTTTTAAAAAATGGCTCTCAAACAACCATTACATTTACCCCCCTGCTACAAAATCTGGATTTTATTCTCCAGTTGTCTCTCATATTATTCAAACATTTATTTTTTCTATCTTCCCAAGTGCGGCTCTGTTTGATTAATGATCTATTTTTGAGATAAAGCGCTGCGATCTCAGCATGTAACACAAAAGATATGTCATTTCATGTGTCACTTGCAAGACAGCCTGTTATCAAACTGTCAGCTAAGACCTTAAGGTGTCGTACACAAAATGAACCCATTTGCGTCATCACAAGGCGGTACGAGGCAGTTTGGACAGAGGTTCTTTCAATTGTCTTCCAGAAACGTCCCCAAACTCCCTCCCATGTTGTACATCAGCTCTTACACAACGATCTTCGTAAAGCTCTTTCAGGCTACGGATCCAGATGTTGTGCTTTTTATGCTTTGAACAAGACACGGTTATTGGGCTAAGCCATTGCTACTACATGTAGCAAAAGCTGCAACCGACATTGAGACACCTTCCGTTTGAAACAGGAGAACCGCTTTAATACTTGAGCCACTGGGGTGGCCAAGTGCATGGGAAACGCTGGTGATGTGATATCAATGAATTTACTGGTAGAGCTTTAAGCCGCCTCACTCCAAAACGTAATACCCTATATCAAATCTAGTTTGTGGACTAGAAAAGGGCTTTTCTAGGTCACAATGGAAAGTATATTAAAGGGAAATGAGATAGATTTGAACAGATTTCCACAACAGTCACTTGTAGCTCTCGAATGCTTTGACACAGACTAACGAAATTAACGATTTTGGCTTCTTTAAATAAGACAAAGTTAAAACAACGAAAAATAGAAACAAAAATAAAACTTTAAAAATTGAAAACTTTAATTCATCAGAAATATTCAAACATTATTTAAATATATATATAATTTTTTTTTTAAAACATTATCGAATTTATTATAGTATTATTTGTAGAGCCTTTTTGCGACTTAGGTTTGAAGTTCCTACAGCAGAATACGGGTAAGACTCATCGGAGGCTTGTTTGAATAAGTAGATTAACGAAAAAAGATATTCCAAAGAAATGAATCCTAGATACAGATTGCTGTTACTGTTGACCGTCTGTCTGGTCACAGTTGATGAAGGTTGGTTCAATTTTATTTTACTTTACACTAATTCTTGGTGTTCAGTGTATTTTTTTCCTACTAGATAATTGCTAGAGGTTATATCAATAACAACAGGGAATCCATTGAATTCGGTCGTTTTCTAAAAAATGAAGATATATAAATTATGTAATTCTCGACAGAAATTAATAAATGAGTTTGAACAATCGTAGCAAATTCTATAAATAAGCAAAAAATAAACCCAAATGACTTGTTCAAAGTGAGAATTGCTAATACCCTAAAATTGGGGGGTCAGGATAAATGTTTCAGAATTACGTTGCTGGTGCCAAATCTTATTTCTTTAAGTCAAAAGATTGCAAATATGATATAAAACATTTTCAAACACGTACACATAAGTCAACAGTTTGCAAAAATTTTCAAATAAGTCAAACAAAATTCAGTTTTCTTTGAACATCAACTCTTAACAGATGACTTAACGAGTTTCGTGTTACATATAAAGGTTGTATTTTATTATAATGTGTGTTTATATGTGCATTTCATTGATTAGTGGACCTGCTGTCGTTTCTTAACCCCCTCAATAAACGTATAACTATTTCCTGACCAGGGCATGCCGTACATCTTGAGTTGAGTCCCAACACTTTCGAGGAAGGCGTCACTGACCACGTTGATATAACTTGCGTCCCGGACGGCACGGGGATCTTGGCCAAGGAGATCCTTCTGATGGAGATCTCCAAAGGTGGGGAGACCCCGATCGTCAACATACAGCCACCGACCAAGATCAACTACGAACATAATTTGGATGGACGTTTTGGGGTCAGGAAATACTGTGCACTGTCTTGCCACCATGAACACTCTTGTCATCATGAACACTCTTGCTAACATGAACACTTTTGTCATCATGAACACTCTTGTCACCATGAACACTCTTGGCATCATGAACAGTCTTGCTCAAGAACTGTCTTTTTATCATGAACATACTTGCTATCATGAACAATCTTGCTATCATGAACACTCTTGCTATTACAAACATTCTTGCTATCATGAACATTCTTGCTATTATGAACATTCTTCTTATCAGAAACATTCTTGCTATCATGAACACAGAAATGCTCATTCTAATATCTCTACCTTTCGAGAAAAAAAAATTCAGTAAAAAAAATTAATAATGAATTTAGATTAATTGTTTTTTTTAATGTATTTTAAAATTGGAGTTCAATTATTTTGATTGAGAACTCAGTCCAAATGGTAAGACTTGAGGACCATTGTTACTTCCTGTTTCTGGTAAAGGGCCTTTAATAACGTGAGTGCTCCATTTATCAGGCCACTGGTTTGATCAACAACTCGTACATACCTGACAGCCACATCAGTTTGAGGATCCAATACCCGACCAGAGAAGATGCGGGCATCTATACCTGTGTCATGTCTTACCTGGGGGAGACAGGGCTTCTCAAACAAGATCGAGACAGGGCGGATCTAATTATCAAAAGTAAGAAGTTGTTTGAATAAGGAATGGTTGCTTTAACACCAAATTTAACTATAAGAGATTCCCAGGCTGGGACTGTTCCTGTTGGTTGAAATAGATGTGTTTAAAGTGATATGTTGAAAGTGATATGTTGAAGGTGATGTGTTGAAGGTGATGTGTTGAAAGTGATGTGCTGAAAGTGATGTGCTGAAAGTAATGTGTTGAAAGTGAAAAAATAAAAAATAATTTTATGAAAGTAATATATTAAACCTATACAATTAATCTTAAAATGTTTAGACCAAATTTTCTTATGTAAGTGATCATTGAAATCTATCTTACTATGGCTCAAAGTCATAGACTGAAACGAGTAGATGATAACATACTTGCATCTTTGGGATAAGATATTAAGAAGCCTAATCTTTATCAAAGCAAACTTAAATTACAAGAAGTTTATAAAATCAGAATGGGGTGTCATCATTAACTCGTTATCCCTTTGTTGTACAGTCAACACCAATGCCAGTTTGGAAGATAAGGTCGGAAATATGCAGAAAAGTTTGGACAATCTGTTAGTGCGGATCAAGGCTGTTGAGGCAACCAACCAGATCTTGTTGGCCGACAGCAGAAATCAGTCGCAGCAGATTCAGACGTTACGAGAAAAAGGTAAGCAGTTTGCATAACTAGTTTTCATGATCAACTGTGAGTAGTATAGTAAGTGCCAAATGTAGCACACATGGTCTTTGTAGTTAAACCAATGAACAGGGTAGAAATAACTTTGCTGATCGATGGCTCTAATCAAATTAAGAATATTTAATAGAATACCCACCAAAAAAAAATAATTTTTTTTGCACATTATGTAAATGTTTGTTTGTTTTGTTATTTGTTTCGTATTTATTTTTCCCTTGTTCTCTATTACAGTTTAAAATATCTCGTTGAAGTTAAGCCTTTATGAACGGTCGATAAAGTAACTTCTGTATTTGAAAAAAAAAAAAGATCGTGTAATTAGTAAATGAAAATTTTCTGGTCATTATCCTAGATGAACATAATGCTACGATATTAAAGATTTAACAGCTGGTCTTGGGCACCGAACGTATGAAATAGTAGAGATCCAACATGTTAAGCTAAAATGCTTGACCTTTGACCTTTCAGTGGAGTATACGGCTGCATTCTCGGCCGCAGTCCGTCAAGAAAAAAATATAGTGACCGGTGACGTCATAGTGTTTGGTGACGTCATGCTGAATGAAGGACAAGGCTATAATGAAACAACTGGGCTGTTCACGGCACCGGTCCCGGGTCTCTACGCCTTCCACTTGGTGCTAGAGATTGGACAAGGCGGTGAGACTTTTTGTTTGTTAATCTGTGCAATGTTTGACTTATTTTTCCAGTTATCTGAAACAAGCAGAATTTAAATTTGTAAGACATCATCCCAGATAATCTACCATTGCCGACGTTAGACTCAGGGGCGTCATTTCAGGTTTTTTCGGTGCTGTTGGGGGGGGGGGCAAACCAAACTTTGGTCAGCTTGTTAAGTTTTTTATTACTGGAGGCGCCACAGCACAAGCAATTTAAATAAACCTGCTTATTCGGGGGGAGGGGGCGGCAAATGCCTACCCAAATGACGTCCCTGGCTAGACTTAAAGTTAGTTCTGAATCATTCTTTTTCTAAGCTTTTAACAAACCTTCTACATACAGAGCCATTGTTAACCAAATGCTGCGCCCAGGGCGAAGCCTGAATTTCGGCGCCCTATACCCAAGGAATGTTTATTGAAACTACGAAATGGTACAACGAAATGTTACAACGAAATGTTACAACGAAATGGTACAACGAAATGTTACAACGAAATGGTACAACGAAATGTTACAACGAAATGTTACAACGAAATGGTACAACGAAATGTTACAGCGAAATGTTACAACGAAATGTTACAACGAAGTGTTACAACGAAATGTTACAACGAAATGTTACAACGAAATGTTACAACAAAATGGTACAACGAAATGTTACAACGAAATGTTACAACGAAATGTCCGCCCTTTAGAATCATATTGAACGGCTTGTTTCATAACTAAACCTGTTTGCACCCCACCCCTTTCATAGAGCCCTTTACCCACTTTCCACACACACAAAAACTGTCATAAAGGTCCCTTTATCTACCACTGTGTATGTATACAGTATGTATTCGAAATATTACTTACCAACTGTGATCTGAATGTCTTCACTGATTGCACTCTCCTTTGGTTCTTCCAGGTGCGGTGGGAGAAATCTTCCTCAACGTGGCCGGCAAAGACCAGGCGAAGATGTACACGCAAGATAAAGATTTCGGCGACCAGGGGTCTGTCAGTGTCATCCAGAGGCTCAAGAAAGGGGACGTTGTCAAGGCTGTGGTCTTTTTAGCTTCCGGAGTTACCCCGAGAATACTGGCCGAGAAGCTCTGTGTGTTTTCTGGTATTTTAATTAAGTCATGACTCTCTTAATGTGGGGGTCTTTTTAAAAACAGCATAATTGATGACAAGTCAGTGTGGATGTTGTCAGTGTTGGCAAGTCAGTGTGGATGTTGTCGGTGTTTGACAAGTCAGTGTGGATGTTGTCAGTGTTTGATAAGTCAGTAAGGATGTTGTCAGTGTTGGCAAGTCAGTGTGGATGTTGTCGGTGTTTGACAAGTCAGTATGGATTTTGTCAGTGTTGGCAAGTCAGTGTGGATGTTGTCAGTGTTGACAAGTCAGTATGGATGTTGTCACTGTTGACTTTTGTTCGCGGACATTTTGATTCTTGCTTTGGATTCACGATCTGCATCATTTATTTCTCTTCTTGTTGAAAAGTTTTGAATTGAAAGAATGTCCCTTACAATCTTGTGAAAGCTTATCGCTTACGACCTTGTGAAAGCATATCGCTTAAGACCTTTCGATGTTGTATACATTTGTTTTTGCTGCACAAGAAGTTCTTGCACTTTTTATTATATACCTTTTTTGTGTGCATAATGCCCTGTATTTTATTTAAATATTGTAAATAATCTGTAAAATGTACCAATTGATCATCTATATTGTGAAAGCTTTTTTGTTTCCACGTGGTTCTTATGTTCGATAATAAATTTTAACATAATGATGTGCTTTGTGTGTCTGATTTAATTCATTATATTCGAAGTTTTTATTACGTCATAAACCCAAATAAAATTACTGCCCTTGAAGAGTTATTTGTTGGAATCCTCTAAAGCTAGTGTGATTCAGGCGGGAACAATTCATTCAACGCGAAACATCAGGGGGGTGTACTCCCAGCTCTTAACTGATATTTGTCAACGGCATTTGAATTCATTGCCCCTTACCTTTACCAGAAAGGTTGTGAGCCAACTGTCTTGTAGATAACATTGACGATAATGGTAGAGAGGTGTGCGTGTTAGTGCTCCGCGGTTACAACACAACCGATCGTCTACACAAGAAACTGTTACGTAGCAAATTATTAGCGTGCTCAAAGACGTGCATGTACTTCGTGCCACTTTATGGTGGTTTCATTCATTTCCATTCACCATGTAGACACCAAATCTTGACGTAGGTAGTGAACCAAAGGGAACCAACCCTACTACCATTTACAACTTGTCACCACGAGCAGCTAGTCACCAGAGGCGTTGCAGGATTTGGCGGAAATTTTCATAGAGATCAGCGTCATACCGTCATACCCCCCCCCCCGATGAAACGTCATTACCAGATTTTTGCAGCGAGGTTTACTTGGGTAGCCTTCAAGACGTGTGGTTTGTAGCCACAAGCAGGGGGTGGGGGGTGTGGTTGGTAGAATGATTTTTTTCCCTTCTCTTACATGAGCTTCATAAGAAAAAAAAAATAGCATGAACATGACAAATAATATTACAACATAAACAAATATCAATTTGATCTCCTCTCAAGTATGAGTTTACAAATAGAAAAAGTGAGTAAACCGTCCTGCCATGACCTTGACATTGATGTAATAATTTTAAAACGTTAATATTTTAAACAATTTAACTATTAATTTGTCCAGGTTATTTAAGAGATCACGTGACAAAGAAAATCATGCACAGACGGGGACTAGGGCTCATAATTTGTGTCCATGTGTGATAAAAGTTTCATACAAATTTGTGACAATTTTAGGGGGAGGGGAATTCGGCAAAAGAAAGCTTGAACTAATTTTTGGATGGCCCCTAATGCAATGAACTGACAATTATCTTTCTGGTAGAAGACGAATAATGTGAATCTTCAAGTTGCATGTTAAGATAAATAATGGGCTGGTCCACTGTTCCAGTATTAAACAGAAACTCGTCCCTCTCCCCCATAGACAGCGACGAGGCCATGACAGGCAATTCAGGCTCATACCAGCAAGAAGCCAGTATAGGAGCTGCTCATTCCTGCCCAAGACAATCAGGGACTGGAACAATCTTTCAAAAGGAACGGTTGAGGCGACAACACTAGACACATTTGTGTCTATTGCCTCAAGCCTTCAAACCCTTAGTGCATGATTTCCTCATCAACACCAGTAACAGAAACATTGCAAATCCCATCTACATGCATAGGAGCCAAAATGATCAATAAATTGATCGTGGGCCCTTAAGATATAGAAGAAGAAGAAATAAACAAAAAATGTACCTTAATAATATGGCTCAATTTAAACGCTAGCCTTTAAAATGGGAAGTAACTGTCAATTTGGCATTCCTGTCGGTAACCACACACAACAAAATGTCGGCACACGGGAGAAAAAGCACAAATGTATGTCATAAATATGTGACATAATATAAATGCAGTTTTGCAGAGAAACTAGTTATCTTTACTTATTATAAAATTCCATTTGCATTTAATTTTAATACATTCATATGCTTCAGTTACACATTGACATTGTTTTGTATTGTAATGTTAATGAGAAAATCATAAATTTGAATAAAAAGATAAAACTTTTTTGTAACATCCAAATTAGTGAAAACCCATCTTACAGTTTCGTGGACAACATTCTTATTTTCATAACTAAATTAAGATTTGATTTTAGTCTTTAACATTTTCCCATAATGGATTAAGATGTAGTTTTATTAGAAAACTGTAACGTAAAACGCCAAACAACGAAGTCCTCCCCGAACCGAATGTAAAATGGCCACAACAGTTTTTGCTCCATTTTTTAATATGCACAGAACTGAGTTTCATGATACCTATAATTCAAGAGACAATTTAGACCTCAAATGAATGCTTTTAAAATTAATTGAAATTAATAGAAAAGTTTAGATTTTTATTTTTTTTTTAATTTGTGACATCACAAAAAAAATTTTGCCCCCCCCCCTTCCCCTCCTCCCCCTGTCACAATTTATCGAAACCCCCAACTCCCCTTTCCATGAGCATGGGGTAATTTGTGAATGACCCCTAAGCTATATTTTCGTTTGTTTAGTTAATATATAGACAATAGAATGACGGGTGTTTTCCCCCCTGCACTTTTTGTTTATCAATCATTGACTTGGAACAGTACTGTCTAGATTCATTTTGTTACCAAAGAAATATCATTATACTTTAGACTAGTAAGGAGGACTGTGCTAACTTAGAAAAAGTAGCATTAATACAGAAATCAAGAGGAGCATTCAACACGTGATATAAGAAATTAAATTTTGATAAAAACAAAGCTATAAATATTCAAATCTATTTATTTTTATTTTTGGATGTGAAACATGGAGAACAAAGAGCCTAATGCAACCAGACTACAGGATGTTATCAAAAGATATTTGTACACTATCCAAAAAGTTAAATACTCTATCTAAATAGATCCTATGGATAAAATCAGGAAGTGACCTTGTGGACTGGAAATACAGTGATGTGGGAAATCAATGTGACCATGTACTGTGAAAACTAATATCAAATAACCCTGGATAGTCTTTGTCATGGATTTCCCAAGGAACCTCAAAAGAGAGCAAGAGAAACACAGCAAGAAGTGGAATAAGCTGGATAAAATAGCTTAAAACAGAGATAAATCGGAAAATGTTTGTATCGACGGCTAGGAGCAAAAAAGAAAAAAAAGAGCAAAAATTTTTTTTTAATTACACATCAAATTTAATTATTTTTACTAAGTTTTGTTTCACATGCATCTTGTCAATCACATGTTTTTTTTTCTGATTTCACTACAACTTTTTTGAAGCAAAATGTTGTTTTTTCTAATCACATAAAGCCTCTGGATAAGAAGATCCCAGAAAATCCCAAGTATAAGCATGTACGGCCAACTGTTGACACAGGTACAGAAATTTTGTTATGTCTTCATATATATTATCTTGTTTATGAAACATTTTTATTTATATTATTTTATTTATCTTAATGATACGCTCAACTAAATAATGTCAGTTTTGAAACATAGATTAGTATGCATTTAATTGTCATTGTTACATGCAACAAGAATTTTGAATGTAAATGATCTATTCCTAAAACTAACTATATATAAGTGTATTTGAATAACATTCGGTTCCTTGCAGGTGCAAGTATATCCAAATACATGGAGAAAATGGAAGAGCTTAAGAGAAGTAAGTCTTGTTCTGCATAAGATTCTTAGTTACCTTTAAACACATTTTCTTTGTGTGTGTGTGTAAATTTTTTATCTGATTCAAAAAGTACAAGCTTTGTATTCAAATTTGTAATGGCATCTTTTAAAAAAAAATATATAATAATTCATTTTCAAAAACCACATGCTTAAAGAACTTTTGTTTTTAATGATAAGGATTTTTTATTTTATCTTTTCAATATTTTTTTTTGTCTGTGGTAAGAAGGGGGAGTGATTTTTATGGTATAAGAAAAAAAGTAATGGAATCAGACTTTCATTATAATTTTGTCCCCACAAATATTGTCTTTTTTCAGATTACAATTTTCGGAAGGATGAGATTTTCAAAAGAATGAAAATTCCTACATTTGTTCAATTGGTAAGTGTCATAAATAAAGTTGTCTTCTTTGTGGAGGTATTGGAAATGGAACTTTTAATGCAAGCAAATGAGGATCAAAGTCTTTAAAATATGTCATTTGACACTTTTCACCACAAATTAATTTTATGTAACTACGTTTATAATTTTAGAATATGTTTAACAATCATCTAATTCAGGCCTGCACAACATATGGCCTGCGGGTCACATTCGGCCCGCCAGCACCCGCTTTGAGGCCCACGAAGTAACGAAATATTATTTTTTATTATTATTTTCTTAAGAGCTGTCCCCTTGTCCTATTTTCTTTCGGACCACACAAGTTTATCATAAAGTATTACGGCCTGCCCTACCTTTTGAGTTGTGCAGGCCTGATCAAATTGATTTGAATAGCTAAATAGTTACTTCTAATTAGATGTTTAATGGTTTCTTGCTCTCAAAAAGCTTTAGCAAAACCCATAACAAAAGTATCTATGTTATAAATTTGTCCCTTTAATTCTAATATCTTGCCTCAAGGTAATTCAAGTGGCTGATGTTGAAACAGATTATGAAGATGGACCCCCCGAAAACTATAGCTGTAAGTCTTTATGTTGATGTTTCACACTCTTACTGACCACGTCTGTCATGGAAGGGAAACAAAACGTGATAAAGGTATAAAAAAAATTAAAGTGATTTCAATTTTGAATTTAAGTTTACTGATATTTTTTTTTTTTTTTCTTCTCTTTTTTTTTTCTTTTCTGACCTCTGTCTGTCACACTGTGATGATGGTGTAGGCTTCACAGGATGAATTCCACAAGGCCTTGGATTATTCTTTTTAGGATTATAAGCTGGTTTCCCACAGAGCTGGATAACCCAAGCTGTTGGATAACCTAAGGGAACATCATGTGGATGATACAGCTTGACACCAGTGGCGTCTCAGGAGTTATCAGAATGTTTCATTGAGCCATTCTTGACCGCTTACGGGACTCCATTCAGAGCTTCCTTCTCTTACATAAGACGCATTCCAGGGCTAATGAGTCCCATCCACCCGGGGTGCTGGTGATGTTTTTGCTTGACTGGGCTTTGCTGGGTATTAAACTCCAGACCATGAACTTGAAATTGGCTCAGCTTAGACCACTTGGCCACCCAGCCCTCGGCCACTGGCCGTTAATAAAGATAAAATTACACATCCAGTTGTTTTAAATATACAGGTCCACATCATTTGTCAAAAGGTATAACCTCATGAGAACAATATTTTGCAAAAGTCTGCATAAAGTCATGAAACATTTTTAATTTTCATCACTACAGCTCATATTAATATTAACTTTCAAACTTATCTTAACAAATCTACAAAGTTGGAATAAAATACTTTTTTTAAAAATATAGACCAGTGGTAAATCCAAAAATTAATATTGTAACAAATGATCTAACTGAGCAGACAGACCAGATACAGCTGATAAGGAGGTGGAGAGAATTCAAAAGACTGGGGCAGGAGACTCAACTAGGCAGTCCCCGGAGGTGGATACTAGCAGATCAAGGCTAGAACAGTAAGTCGTGAGTAAATACAGATACTATCAAATCCATGCTGGAGCAGTAAGGCATGAGTAAATGTGAATACTAGCTGATCAATAAAATAATAATAAATTGGATACCAGTAGAAGTACTTTAAAGCTTTACGTCTTTCCTAGCAGATCCATCGTAGAATAGTAACTGAGTAAGTCTTGAAGAAATGTCTATTCAAGATGTTCCCAGCTGTAACAATAATTCTTGGATAAATTATTTAATTTCCTAATCACAAATATAATTATTTGTCATTCAAAGAAACATTGGCAAGATGCAGTTAAGGAACATTTGACCTTTCGAAAGACAAAAAATTAATTTGCATCACGCATAAATAACTGACCTAAGGAATTGTGTTAAAAACTTTTCTTCTAATGAATCACGAATATACCTTGCATTCCATGGACAGCTAAGATTTCAGAAATAAAATGACTGAAATAAATATAAATAAATTAATATTTTAAGATCTTTCTATGTAGCAACTCTTCTGTACTTAAAATGCACAAGAGTACCTCACAAATTGTGTAATTTAATATATAGCACATTCTAGTAAAGGCCCTTCAGACACATTCTGTAAAATAGAAAAATATTAAGAGATCACATACTCATATAATATCACATTGATAATTTTTTGTGTGCTTATGTCAGGGTCATCAATGGAATGGGAGAGGTTGATCTGGATGCCCCAAAGTCAGCCCATAAACCTCTCCCCATGATGGGACCACTTTGCCCGTATTTACTGCTGGATGTCAGGGAAAAAGATGCCTATGATGAGTGCCATATAATTACAGGTGAGTGATGGCGATAGCTGCTGGTGAAATGAATTACTAGTATTTTTATACATGCACTTAACTTAAAACGTACTTTTATAGGTGCACTTAAATAGTGAATTTATGGGTTCTCTAAATATTTATGTCATTGCAGCTGACATTGGTAGGCTATATGTTTATTGTATTTAGTCATGTGATCAAAATAACAATGATTTTCGCTTGCTTAATTTTTACCAGTTGTAGACATTGGCCACTATATTTATGTTTTATTATATTTCTTTCAGCCAAAAGCTACCCAACAGCCATGTTAGCAAGGTCAGTCAACTATGAAACAAAAGAAATGCTACAGTTTGTATCCTTTTATTGTATTGTATCATAGATGTTATTTGTAAAAGGAGGATATTTGATAAAAATTTATTTCGACCCTATTCGCTCCCAGCTATAGGCTAATGGTCTGATAGTCTGCCCAAATTATTATTGTATTCATATTGTTCTGTCATGATATGGAAGCTGATGACAGAAACAGGGCAGCAAAGAGTGTGTAGCTTGGCTCAGAAAAAAACTTTTTTAATCATTAATTAAGGAAATGAATGAAACAAAGTATGGACAAAAATCTGGAAAAAAAAGAACGCAGCAAAACAACAAACATGTTGGAAAGAAGCCTTGATCAGCGAACAAGCAACAGTTAAAACAGAATTAAATAAAAATAACACTTTGTTGAAATGTTATATTCGAGAAGGCAGATAATAATGTGACGAGGTCAGGCGGTGTCTCCGGCCTCTCCTCATCATGACCTATTGCAGTGGACTTACTTTTCCTCTCTTCTTTCCCTTTTTACCTTTATTAAATCTCTCACCTGCTTATCTTCTGTCATATTCCTTTAGCAGCCCCCTGGGATTCATCATTTCAGCTAAATGTTATTTTTATTCAATTCTGTTTTTACTGTTGTTTGTTCACCGATGCTCATTTATTTCCTTGTTTGCTAACCTGATTGCAATCTGGCCCCCTTTTTGCTGGCATCCTTCCATCACAATATGACGATGATGTGGGCTTCGGAGGACAAAAATCCACAAGGCCTGGGATTATTCTTCAAGGATTATAAGCTGGTTCCCAACAGCAAATCGACTCTCTCCATGCCGCTGGATAACCCAAGGGAACATCATTTGGATGATACAGCTTGGCAACAGTGATGTCGCAGGAGTTGTCGGAATGTTTCATTGTACCAATGTTATCCGCCTTTCGAGACTCCATCTCCTCCTTATTACCATAATAATTAATTAGAAGTTTGCTGCTTGTTGACAGTTTTGATGGGGAAAATCTTCATGATTTGCGTCCCTGTAACTTTCTTAACTCAGTCTAGAAAAATCAAACTGGCAAAATCATATTGTTGTATGATGAAGATGAAAGGCTATCACACAGGGCAGCTACAACACTGGTACAAAGAGGCTATGACAATCTCTTTATGCTGTCAGGGGGTAAGTCACACTGGTACAGAGAAGCTATGACAATCTCTTTATCCTGTCAAGGGGTAAGTCACACTGGTACAGAGAAGCTATGAAAATCTCTTTATGCTGTCAGGGGGTAAGTCCTAAGAGAATAAATATAGAGAATAAATTCTTGGTTTAAACTTTATTTAAATTAATAGGAAAAGATATTTAAAAATTATTTCTTTAAATTAGCCAATTTAATTTTAAATTGGTTTATTTAAAAAATATCCATTATTTTTTGTTATCTAAACAGGGGGGTTTTAACTTCAAAAATTTAATTGTAACCATTTTCTCAACCTCCTACCATTGATGGCTATGTGTTCAAACTAGGCAGATTTTTAAAAACTATAACAGTTGAAAAAAGTTTCATATTAATTTTGTATTTCTTACAACTGAGTTTGTTTTTTCTGTTTCCAGGTATGAAGGTAGCCTACAAACTGTTTCCTGAAGGGCTCTTCACAGGTACACTCCCACAAAGCATCCTTGATGACATAGCCCAGGGACAGAAAGTGGCCAAGGTGAAAATAGAGGCACCACCTAAGTTACCAGCTGATATAGAATCTTTCACACCAGAACTTATAGACAAACTGTGCACTTACCTGGACAGCTCAGCATCTGACCGAAGCCTTAGTAGTAAGTCATTATCAATTTTTAAATTATAATTTTTTATAATGAAATGTCTGATAATAGTTTTACTGGTTAAATTCTCCGATCTATTTTCATTAAATTCTGTTGTCCTGGCTTGTATCTCTGACTTTTCCACATCGATTAATAAACCAATCCTAACTGTAGGGACTACATCTCTGATTTATTCATGTCATTAAGTATACCAATCCTAACTGTAGGAACTATGTCTCTGATTGATCAAAATCATTAAGTTAACCAATCTTAACTTTGAGACTACATCTCTGATTGATTCACATCCATCCAATCCTAACTGTTGAGACTATATCTCTGATTGATTCACATCTTTAAGTAAACTAATCCTAACTGTGGCGTCAGACCAGCAAAATTATGCTTCTTACTTCTATTAGTCTGGGTACATTCAACAAATAGTTTTAAAAAATATATAAAAATAGCCCTATGAATCTAATGAGACATTAAAAAATTCACACATTTACCTTTAACTTCTATTGGGTTTAATATTTATAATTTAAGCATTGGCTAAAATATTTTACTCCAACTCAGATTACTTGAGACTTGGTCACAAAAAAGTTTAGTTACTGGCTGTAGATGTTAAAGTCGGGCATTGGTTTTATTGTTTTAAAATGACAATACTATGTAACAATTGATCATTTTCTTTAAGCTAACACGAACAATCAGTTTTAAATAAATGATGCCCCATCTTTAAATTTGAGAATCTCTATGCCATTTTATGGTGTCAACAGGCCGTGTGTCCAAGTCTGCTGCTAGCAGCAAATCAGGAAGGTCTGCCAGTATAGCCTCATCCACAACATCAGTATCAACACTTGGCCGCAAGCCTTTCAAATGTTGACATAATCAGGTGAGTTAACTTTTTGTCATAAGAAAAATAAGGACTGGCTGAAATGCATGTAGCTCTCTCTTTACAAATTATAAACTGATAACTATATACGAAGACTGTTCAGCTTCTATTTCTTGTCACATACTAGTCACATTAAGCCACTGAAGCTCATAAAAATGATTTATTATTCCTGACAAATTAAAGTTGAACACAAAATTAAAATATTAAGTTGTCCTGTGAATTCAAATATTGTCCTGCAACCTGTTTATACATATTTATTTCAAATACCAACCAGCATGTAGCGGCTAGGATTATGAGTTCCATGTTCTATAGATTAGCATTCCACCCCACAGGTTAATAGAATTGTATATTGTACATTCCGACCTAAGATTAATACAATTGTGTGTTGTACATTCCAACCAAAGATTAATACAATTGTGTGTTGTACATTCCAACCAAAGATTAATACAATTGTGTGTTGTACATTCCAACCAAAGATTAATACAATTGTGTATTGTACATTCCGACCAAAGATTAATACAATTGTGTGTTGTACATTCCAACCAAAGATTAATACAATTGTGTGTTGTACATTCCAACCAAAGATTAATACAATTGTGTGTTGTACATTCCAACCAAAGATTAATACAATTGTGTGTTGTACATTCCGACCTAAGATTAATACAATTGTGTGTTGTACATTCCAACCAAAGATTAATACAATTGTGTATTGTACATTCCGACCAAAGATTAATACAATTGTGTGTTGTACATTCCAACCAAAGATTAATACAATTGTGTAAGATTAATACAATTGTGTGTTGTACATTCCAACCAAAGATTAATACAATTGTGTATTGTACATTCCGACCAAAGATTAATACAATTGTGTGTTGTACATTCCAACCAAAGATTAATACAATTGTGTGTTGTACATTCCAACCAAAGATTAATACAATTGTGTGTTGTACATTCCAACCAAAGATTAATACACTTGTGTATTGTACATTCCGACCAAATATTAATACAACTGTGTGTTGTACATTCCAACCAAAGATTAATACACTTGTGTATTGTACATTCCGACCAAAGATTAATACAACTGTGTGTTGTACATTCCAACCAAAGATTAATACAATTGTATATTGTACATTCCGACCTAAGATTAATACAATTGTGTGTTGTACATTCCAACCAAAGATTAATACAATTGTGTGTTGTACATTCCAACCAAAGATTAATACACTTGTGTATTGTACATTCCGACCAAAGATTAATACAACTGTGTGTTGTACATACCGACCAAAGATTAATACACTTGTGTATTGTACATTCCGACCAAAGATTAATACAACTGTGTATTGTACATTCCGACCAAAGATTAATACAATTGTGTATTGTACATTCCGACCAAAGATTAATACAATTGTGTGTTGTACATTCCAACCAAAGATTAATACAATTGTGTGTTGTACATTCCAACCAAAGATTAATACACTTGTGTATTGTACATTCCGACCAAAGATTAATACAACTGTGTGTTGTACATACCGACCAAAGATTAATACACTTGTGTATTGTACATTCCGACCAAAGATTAATACAATTGTGTGTTGTACATACCGACCAAAGATTAATACACTTGTGTATTGTACATTCCGACCAAAGATTAATACAACTGTGTGTTGTACATTCCAACCAAAGATTAAACATCAATTAATTCAACAGCTTAGCACTGTGTTAAATCTCTCACTTTTTATTTTTTACAGCAAGGCTGGAACTGTGCGCCATCCTGTTGTGTCAAGCGATGATTTGTTTTCACTGTTGTCATGTCAGATCTAACTCTAAAAAAGGGAGCTGACTTAACAAGTTTTTTACAACTATTTACATAAACTATTATAGAATAATACAAACCTCCACAAGTCTGGGGGATGATGCCAAGACATGTTTTCGTGGTCTTGAACGGGTGTGTGTGTGTGTCGAGATACTTTCATTTTTTACTTCTAAATGATATAGATATTTTTCCATCATAAGTTTCTCTATGTCGCAAGGTTAATATTATTGACATTGAAATAAATCAAACAAAACTGTGTCATGATTAGACTTAGCATCTGAAAATCCAGGTTTCTGTATTTGAGCATTGTTATTGAAAAGTGCAGAATTTTTTTATTTAAAAAAAATATTTTTTTTAGGTAAAACAATATTTAAAATAATATAATAACTAGAATTAGCTGGAAAATATTTCTAATCCATAATTAAATAATTCTTATATTTTTTGTTTTTCACTCTTTAAAGAGGTGACGAGTAATATTTAGAATATTCTGATTTAATTATTCATGAATGCCTGGACTTATTATATTTTGATAATTACTGACTTTAGTTAAAAATGTTGCTAGTGTTGTCATCTCACAATGCATTAGGCACTTATAATGTGACTAGTCTAAAGATTTACAAGACTTTTAACCATGAAAAGTATATAAATTGTGAGCAATGCTTAAACCATCCTTGAAGGATGGTGAGATGTTGTCTGAGTGCCTGCTGTCAAATAATTGAAAACACCTTGGTAGCCCTCGGTGTAATAAATTTTTTTTTTGTAAGCTATATAATAATAAGGACCATGATGAACAGAAAAAAGGAGCAATTCAAAATGTTACTTGCCTTTATCTAGTTGCAAAACATTCCAAGAAAATATTTCATCATTATATTTCTGCTGTATTTGACTTACCAAATTAAATGGTCTAATTTTTTAATATTTCAACTTATCAATAATCAATACCCACTCATTACATGGTAATAACATGTCATACTATGTAAAGAGCTGAAGTGGACAATAAAATGTCATGTCATGTGATGAGCAACAGTGACAACAACACCTCATGCTATGTAAAGAGCTTAAGTGAAAAGTTCAAAAGGTGAAGAAAAGGTTTTCATTTAGTTATTTGTATGTAATAAAGTAAGGACCAGTACTTGGGCATTAGAAATAATTCCTCACAGTGGCAACCCTTGACTAAATCCTGCCTGGGGGCGAACCCCAAAAGTGCACTTCTCAAACACATAAAGACACCATTTATATGATGTAAGATATAATCCCCTAAAAGTGCACTTCTCAAACACATAAAGACACCATTTATATGATGTTAGATATAAATCCCCAAAAGTGCATCCTGCCTGGGGCGGTTGCCCCATTTGCCCCCCACCCAAGGTATGCCGCTGATTCTTCAAAACAAATGAATATATTTTCCAGGAGCCAGACATTCATCCTTTGGTATACAATAATATTCTAATGAATCTAACAATGTTCTTCATACTTTTAAGGTATACCAAAAGAAGTTGAAATATGGAAACGCTCTGTATCAATCCATGCAGTAGTAAGCAATTAACAAATATTTTACAAGTTAACTCAAATATGAATCAAAATACTGAGTTAAGTTAACCCGTCCAGTTATAGCCAACTGTTTAGTCAGTGCTGTATCATGTTAAACTTGACAGGAATGTATTCCATTGGTCAGAAATGCACCAATAAACAACTTTCATCTCTGTGTGTAGCTTGGCACCTGTGTGTTGTGTTTAATGACACCCTCTTAGAGTTTACTGTCTCATACATTTCATGATCAGTTGTTTGAGCTTAGGATTTACATCGATTTAGAGAAGTGAATGTGTTTGGCTGAAGAGACTTAATATCCAGAGGTTTGACCAGGATTGAATGATATTGTATGACATAGGATTATATATTAAATACTTTTATTTAAGGATGATTGTGTATCAGATCCTACTGTTCACAGATGCTCTTAAAAATGCCGAAACCAATTGTTATATTTATATGTCTTTTTCTATAAGATACAGCTCCGAGGCTATCAATGATCAAGCAGTGGAAATCAAATTTTAGGCCTGTTATGTAAATGATTCACAATAGGAGACGTAAACATAGCAAAATTTATTTATTATTTCCATTTACAGGAGACAAATTTTTCTACACACATAAAAAAAAAATTGTGGTGCTGAATTGTGAATTAAAACATGTAATTACCCCTGATGTGTGTTGAAAATGAGTTTTCATGATTTGTTTGAATATATTCCATTATAAGAGGAGTCAGATCTGAAATGGGTTCTACCTTGGTTTTGTTCATAACTCAACCACTGGTGAAGCAAAACGAACTAGTTAATTGTAAATACTGTATTTAATAATTATGTAACTGACCCACTTAAACTTTAGTTTGACATCTCTGCTTAATCTACCATCTTTGTTGTTGCTCATGTATCAGTGCACAGGGCTGCATTCATTCATCATTTCGACTCACAGGTGGCCCCAAGTTTTCCCTAATAACTTTTTAACCAATGAACATAATGTAGCGGCCACCATCAACTCTGCCTTTGACGGTGTGTTACTTCACAAAGAACTGGTTAAGTTTTTCTAAACATACTATTAGTAAGTATTAGTCATAAATGCATACTGAAACGCTTGGGGCCAACAGTGAGTGACACCTTCTATATACTGGGGCCAACAGTGAGTGACACCTTCAATCTGCTATTTTTAATGAATCGGCAGCTCATCCTGACAGGATGTAAACTCAACTGACAAAATATTGGAACTTTTTCTCATCAAATTTTTACTCATTCCATCTTGTAGTGTCATTTTTAATTTAAAAAAATCTTTGAGTTGTTTATACAAATTCTAAATACTAAATTTTCTCTTTTATCTGATGACTCTACAACTATTTGTAAATGGCTGCCCTACTTATTATCTATCAATAAAATTCACCACCAAAATGTGTCAAGTGTTAAATGATTTTCTCAGTGATACTCCCTAAACCAGGCAATCTGTTTTGTTTACTTAGATTGTTTTTGTTGTTGATGTGTCATACATTAAAATAATATGCCTCATTATTGTTTGCACAACCTCATTCTCTATGTCTCCACAATGTTAGCACATCCTCATTCTCTATGTCTCCACAATGTTAGCACATCCTCATTCTCTATGTCTCCACAATGTTAGCACATCCTCATTCTCTATGTCTCCACAATGTAGTTAAAAAATCCTTACATTTTATGCACATCCTGACACAAACTTTTATCATAATTGACATTAAATTACCAGAATAGAAAACATAATGTTAGAAACGAAATTTGTCGATGTCATTTGTATAATTGCCAGTATCTTCTTCCTTTACTTCTTTGAAGTTGTGACAATCTCCTGTTTGATTTAAATCAATGAAAGGTCCTGATTTTTTATTTAATTTAATGAAAGGTCCTAATGTTTGATTTAATTCAATGAAAGGTCCTGATGTTTGACTTAATTCAGTGAAGGGTCCATCAAAAGAAACGATTATTTTGTTATCACCGTTGGTCCCTGGACGCTCTGGCTGAGCGCCGTTGGGTTTGGTGACGACAGTGAGGCTATCAGATAACACCATCCCTCGACTTTCCTGGACAAAAAACGCCAGTAGAATGTCCAGTAGTAGCAGACCACCAATGATAGCATAGGATAAAATAAGTCGATCATCCTGGAAAAAGATAAATTGTGTTACGTTAATGTCATCAATTGTTGAACTATTTTAATACCCCATCACCACAAACCTCCTAGATGATAAATAAAGACAAACTTGGAACAGCCATTTTAAACAGTCGTCTTTTTAAAACACTTATCTTTTTTTTTTAGGGGGTCACTAGATTGCAGTTGTTATGCAGTGACTCAATGAAGATGAGAATAATATATATCAGCCCGATGACATATTGTTTTATATCTTATATCAGCCCGAAGACATATTGTTTTCTCCACATTTTAATTAAAAATGAAATTGAAAAACATTGGAGAAATCTAATTTCAAATTGATTCATATGCCGTGTTGTTGATATTTCACGAGGAAACGTACAATGATTTACTATGATTTTTTTTCCAAGCCGAAACATATCTTTCTCCACTATTTATTTATAGAAAGCATGCAATTATAATGCAGGTCTATACTCTTGTAACATTCAATGTTGTGCATAGAGCCCGCCAGTTAGATACCTACCAAATTGATAGCGAAAGGGGCGATAATGCCACCTAAGCGTGCTGCCGTCGACACGGCCCCATAGCTAAGACTTCTGTGGACATATTGTTTATCTTGAGATGATTGAACATAACTGACTCGCATAACTCATTACAAATATAGATAACCGTACATAAATTAATATTTAAAGCACGCTAATTAATATCAAGGTCTAATGGTGTGTTCAATGTTTACTCTATTTATAGATGTCATTCTAACTAATCTCGGGTTTAATTTAAAATCGCTTGTATATAACTACTCTGATGTCTACCACTATACAAAAATAGTGGTGCACCAGAACTAATATGCGATGAACGAGTTTGACCTGGTCACTGTCGGGGAGAGCTCTGTCCCCCATGTCTCGACCGCTGTCCAGCCCGCATTTGTTCCCATTTTGGCAAGAAGACAAAGACCAGTGACGATGTGTCCTTTTCTTGCGTCAGACACTGTGAGGGTGATAAGACAGACGTGACACGATCAACTCGTGATACAAACTAAAGAGAAAGTATACACATTAGGATGCCTTTTGGACTACATTCATTACTATATCTACTGCATATTCTCTATGTTGCCTGGTGTATTACCAAAGATGATGACAAGAAGGCTCGAGAAGGCAGAAACACAAGCCATCGACAGGAATGCTATTGATGTCCTCTTGCGACCAAATCTGGGGAAGAGTAGCCAATAGCTGGTAAGGGTGCCGGCTTGCCCATTAATGCACGCAGTAACCTATCACTATTTCGGAACACACAATTTGACATTTTAATGTACAGTAAACTAGAAATACAATAAAAATGTGCGCACTTTAACGAATAAAGGAAAAAATATTTTTTTACCACCAGCCCAGTGTTGGCGGAGAGGGCTGTTCGCCCCAGGCTGCACCTTTTTCCTTTATACTTTCAGTCAACTCCAGTTGTTTGTTGTTGTTTTTTGTTGTTGTTTTTTTTTTGTACGGTGACCCACACAAAAATTCAGGCTACGCCACTGTTCAATGTTAAGTTTTTAAAAAAAAATTGATGTAATAAATTGTAAAATATTAATCTGGGGGCTGTTGCGTCCAAACAAATGGGTCTGCTGTGTCCAAAGAAATGGCTATGACCCCTGCCTCTAGGTTTAGGTTACTAACACATGATGACATACAGCCCTGGGATAACATCACAGTAAAGGTGCTGTCAAAATAGCTTCACAAGGCAAATTCACAGGTTTTAATTTTTAATTTTTTTTTTTTTAACATTTATTTTAGGGCAGTACTACTGATTGGTCCAAAAAAATCAACCTATTCATCCTGCTTTTGTATACTGGGAGGACAGCTTATACAGAAGCCTTCAAACCCCTAGTGCATGATTTCCTCACCAACACCAGTAACAGAAACATTGCAAATCCCATCTACATGCATAGGAGCCAAAATGATCAATAAATTGATCGTGGGCCCTTAAGATATAGAAGAAGAAGAATTGTTAGAGTTGACCGTGAGGGCGTGGCACTGCTATACACGTTTAAAATGTGTTCGTTGTGAATGTTGAGACGTACTTGTTATTGAAGTAGAAAGTTGATACTTTGGCCGGAATTTCGATGACGCCCACAAGAAAAATGTTGAAGGAGAGATTCCCCGCAAGACTGGACACGCCAAATGAGATCCCGTAGTACACAAGGGACAACGAGAACCTGTGGTCAACAATATCAAGTTTACTAATGACATATTTCAACTTTTCCCCACACAAAAAAAAAATAATTGAAAAATGATCTTTTAAAAGAGTAAACTATAAAAATTGATATAACAATGCGTGTGTTAAGCGCTCTGCGGGAAATAAGCTAATTAACAAGGTTATGGAAGTTGTCGATTAGATTTAAGATTGAACACGAAGAAAGAGACACAATTTATTCATCAACCAACTTGCCAGTGGAAACAAAATATCATGGTTAGTTTTGCCGTCTGCCATCCCCTGAAGATGTCAATGTATGTATATTGCTTGCCACTAACACGAGTTCTCTGCTCTTCTTCCACAACGGTCTGTGGGGAACAAAGTAGCAGCAATCTTATTTTCATTGAAACATAAGTCAAATCGTTTTTTGTTTTTTTTATAAACTAAGCTACAGTTATTTGAAAGAAAAAGATGACTAAAAATTCCACATTAAATGACATGATAATGATTATTATCTTCAGTGGCGACCCTAGGGTTTGTGCCGCCAAGGAATTTTGCCGCACCCTTCCACGACAAAAATTCTACATTTGACCGAAAATGACGTATGAAAAAAAAAAGATGCCGCCCCCCATCTTCCTACGCCACTGACTAGCTTTCTCGCGCGGTCAAGTCCTGTAATAATATTAAGAGTTGAACCCAAGTTCTACCACTGCAGTAATACACGAGCCTATACATTTATTGAGCACACAGTTTCTAACCCACTTAGAGCAATACGGTTTGAGCTCTTGAAACGGCCTCGGGCAATCAATGCTCCAGTGTCTCACCCACTGACACATGCCTTAGTTCCTCTCCGCAGGATTCTCCTCTGGGAAATTCAAGTAAATGCAGCCTACCTGTAAAATATGGCGGGTCTTTTCAGGAAACGGTTTCTTGTTGATGGCAGCAATCATCTCAACTGCCTTCTGAGCCTCATCTAATCGATTCTTGACTGTAAGCCATCGCATACTTTCTGGTAGGAAGCTAACAAAACAATAAAATCTGAACTGTACATAAGTACAAAAGAACTTGCGTGGATCTACAGGTGGATGTGAGCATTAACTAACTTATAGATTTGAGAATGAACAATGGTATGAATGGACATCTATAGAAAAAACGGAGTGAATATAAGCATAATTGATTGAAAAAAATGCTTTTTTTTTTTTTAATGATTCATATTAACTTCGCTTTTGTTTGTTTCTTTGTGGCGGCAAAATCTTCGGAAGGCTAACTGACCCACTTCCCGTCATCCTATCGAGGTGAAACTTGGCAAATAGACTCGTTGCCGATGACAACACTTTCTATCAAATTTTCTGCCCCAACCCCCAAAAATCAGTTTTTCCTGTCTTTCAAGGGTAAGATAATTGAAACATTTGTGCGTATTTTTGGTGTGGAGATTAATTGGGTAGTTGTTGCTATGTACTTTGTATTTGTGGTGCATAAGGTTTTAAATATATTTTTAGTCTTTTAGGTTTTAAATATACTAACTTTGATAAAAAAACTATTCCCCTAACAAAGATCACATGGATGATAAATCACGTTCAAAGACATAATCACATGTATGATAAATCACGTTCAATTACATAATCACATGTATGATAAATCACCTTCAATGACATAATCACATGTATGATAAATCACCTTCAATGACATAATCACATGTATGATAAATCACGTTCAAAGACATAATCACATGTATGATAAATCACGTTCAAAGACATAATCACATGTATGATAAATCACCTTCAATGACATAATCACATGTATGATAAATCACCTTCAATGACATAATCACATGTATGATAAATCACCTTCAATGACATAATCACATGTATGATAAATCACCTTCAATGACATAATCACATGTATGATAAATCACCTTCAATGACATAATCACATGTATGATAAATCACCTTCAATGACATAATCACATGTATGATAAATCACGTTCAAAGACATAATCACATGTATGATAAATCACCTTCAATGACATAATCACATGTATGATAAATCACCTTCAATGACATAATCACATGTATGATAAATCACCTTCAATGACATAATCACATGTATGATAAATCACCTTCAATGACATAATCACATGTATGATAAATCACCTTCAATGACATAATCACATGTATGATAAATCACGTTCAATGACATAATCACATGTATGATAAATCACGTTCAATGACATAATCACATGTATGATGAATCACGTTCAATGACATAAATGCAAACAAAAATGCATATAATGAATTTATACGAAAAACTTTGATTTTAAGGGCTGTTTAATTAAAGATATACTCTCAGCAATTAAATTAGTCCCCAACAATCCAACATATTTTGTGCATTTCTGTCATGGGTGTGGGTCTCAAAAAATGTTTGAACCATTTCCCACGGATACATTCACACATTAATAAGTATATGATGTTTTGCTTTTGTAAACAACTAATGTCTTCTTAACGTAATTATGCATTTCTTATACGATTTATAAAAATAACCAGTTTTGAAAATCCTTAAACTGTCTAGACCTTTCTAGAAAACATTTTTTTTTACTCATGTAAAACTCGGAAATATTTGGAAAATGTATCTATTATAAAGATTTTTTCCATCGCGTTCAACATTTAAATTAATGTTGGCGATACTTTTTATGTGATGGAAATCTTTTTTTGGACGCTAAAAAAATCATTTAGTTATTAAGTAGTTTATTCCAAAAAATAGTTTTAATAAAATATAAAACCTCAATGTTATTTAGTAATTTAAACCAAAAAAAATATTTGTATTGCATAACTAGGTCAAGCAGAGCCGTCGCGAGACTCCCCTAGAGCCCCTGCCACTCTCCGGTTTCGTCCTTCCACCAACTTTCGATCAAATTTGATCATTTAAAAAGTGTCCCCAGCACAACTTTAATCCCCTTAAATATCCGAGGCTTCCTACATCCGCGGGTGTTGCGGGGGCTCAGACGACGGCTCTGATGTCAAGTGAAACCATACATTTTTTTACTAGCATCTTTCCCGTTGCTCTCCAATTAAGTGTATGATGCAAAACTAAAGTTATATATGTGCTAGAATCCATTCTTGCTGTTTAAATTTATTTTTTTTTTAAATCTGGGGACATAAAGATTTAAGGGGCCACACTAAGCTAGGGCAAAAAGTCTACCCTCAAGGGGCATCAGCTGGAATTAGTTTAGTTCATGTTGGGATGGGGTCTTTATCGTGGCTCATTCTGGCGCTTCCCACCAGACGTTTGAAATGACCCCTTCCAAACTGTCTGAAAGAAACACCAACTTCAAGTGTGCACCAAAATGCATCCCTGCATTTTGCATTAATTAAATATTTTCTATGGGGACCCTTTTCCCCACTTTTGTGTGAGCGTTTTCGGCACCCTTAATGTTTGCTCCCCCGTTCCCTCGCGCCAATCATAACGACAGTAAAGGGGGGTGGGTGTTGAATCTAGGCTTGTACCTAATGATGACCATGGGGCCTCGCCACAACCAGAATGAAATCAGTTTATGTAAAGTACTGGGCGAAATAATGCCTCCCGCAGCAAGTATTAGTGTCGCCATCGGCGGGCCAAGATTACTTTCGCCCCCCTTTCACGAATAAAAACTCTGGAGTTGTCCAAGAATGACACACCTCCATATAAACTAAAAAAAATTACACCTGGCTGGACAACCCCCAATCGCACCCCTTTCTACGCCCCCGAAAGAGGTGTAGCCAGAGTGTTTAACACCAGGGGACAAGATTCATTTTACCCTCCCCCCACCCACCAAAAAACAAAAACAAAACACTTGGTATCTGAAACCCAATATTTTCCTCAACTAAATGGTGCCAACTCCCGCAAGTCTGGTGCGCGGGGACATCTTTCCCCCCTGCCTCCCCATAGTTACTCCTCTGGTCACTGGCACTGCCCCCTCCCCCGAAAATCCAAAATACCGCCCCCTCGAGGAAAATGTCTGAAAGAAACACTGCCTCTACAGACAGCTGGGAACATTCCATAATGTTATGTTGTTGTTTTGTTTTTGTAGTTACTGTTGAAAAATATGAGTTGAAATAAACAGCCTATAGGACATTTAAATTAGACTCCTGGTATAATATGAAACAGCATTCTTCCAACTTGCCCATTATACGGCACAAATCTGAGATGCCTTTAACCCTACAACCGCCTTCACCACTGTTTTTGTTACTGAGTGAACAACTTACAAGTATCCTAGGAGACCAGGCAGGGCCAGCAGTCCACATGTCAGGTGTAGGTGTGACCAGTCCTCCATCAAGTAACTCAGGAGGGCAAACAAACTGACCCCTACCTGCCAAAAGGGAAGCACAGAAACCAGGGGTCGCCACGTTATAGGAAGAAACTCCAGTCCATAAGGGAAAAACACAACAAGAGCAGCACCTTGGAGATCAGAAAGGAAGTATGACTATGTAGGAAATATGACTGTGTAGGAAATATAACTGTGTAGGAAGTATGAATATGTAGGAAATATTACTATGTAGGAAATATGACTGTGGTTCTTACATTGAATGGTCTGATTAGAGCAGTGGCTCTCAACCTTCCTAATGCCGCGACCCCGTAATACAGTTTCTCATGTTGTGGCGACCCCTAGGCACAAAATTATTTTCGTTGCTACTTCATAACTGTAGAGCATATGTGCTTCAGATGGTCTTAGGCGACCCTTGGGAAAGGGTCGTGCGACCCCCACAGAGGAAATATTACTATGTAGGAAATATGACTGTGGTTCTTACATTGAATGGTCTGATTAGAGCAGTGGCTCTCAACCTTCCTAATGCCGCGACCCCGTAATACAGTTTCTCATGTTGTGGCGACCCCTAGGCACAAAATTATTTTCGTTGCTACTTCATAACTGTAGAGCATATGTGCTTCAGATGGTCTTAGGCGACCCTTGGGAAAGGGTCGTGCGACCCCCAAAGAGGTCGCGACCATAGGTTGAGAACCGCTGGTTTAGAGCGACTTATGAAAAGGTCATTTCACATTAAAGAAGTATCTGAAAAGTATCAATCATTGGTTCTAAGTACGGGTCATCATGACCCTTTTTTTGTATCGTGTGACATCCTTTTGTAAAAACATATTTGACTTTTTTTGTCTCCTTTTTCCTCTTCGTTGCGCGAGTTTGTTTGAGTGTTCTTTGGATTCTCTGGATTCATCGGAGTAGGAAATATGTAAATATGTAACGTTACCTTTGGTATGAGAACGTCCAGCATAAACTAAAGGAGTAACGTTTGTGGCAAGTAAAACCACCAAATCCAAACCTATAGAGAAACAATAGACGTTCAGCGTAAACTATAGGAATAACGTTAGTAGCAATTACCTAAGCCAAACCCTATACAGAATCGACAGACAGCAAACATCTCCCAGCTGACGGAGAAGGCAGTGATGACGTTGAACGCAGCATGCATCAAGAGGAAGATGTACATGGTCGTCTTGCGGCCGAAATGGTCGCCCAGATGTCCAGACAAGAGAGAGCCTAGCAGCACCCCAGCCATCTGAATGGACGTCACGGTGGCCTTGACCCATTTCTTATCACACACTAAGTCCCACTGTGACGTGAAGTCATTTAAGTTCATACATGTTCATTAATATAGTTAACGATCAACTATGAATTATCCATGAACTATCTTAACATTGTGACGTACCGTTCATGGACTAGACCAGGCCTGCACAACTCAAAATGTAAGGCCGGCCGTAATACCTTATGAAAGACCTATAAGGGCCAAGAGAAAATGGGACGGGACAAAAGAAAATAGGACATGGGGAAAAGCTATTACGGAAATACTAAGAATAAAGAATATTCGTTAATTCTCGGGCCACAAAGGGGGTTCTGGCGGGCCGCATGCGGTCCGCGAGCCTTACGTTCTGCAGGCCTGGGGTAGACCAAAGACCTTTCAGTTAAGATTCTTTGAGTTAAACTGCCACGGCATTAAATAAAATATGATTAAAGGTAAGCCAACTCAAGAAATTTCTGTCAAACAACAATGAGAGGTTACACTTCATTTCAGAAAAATTTTATACTTCTCCAAAATGGTTAACTACGTGCAAATTGAAGTTTTTAAACATTAACTACTGAGAACAATGGTGAATTAGAAATGAATTATGTATCTACCTCATCAATGATTGTTGAAGCAGTTCCCGGAAACACGTAATGGTGGCAAGCCGTGACGTCATGTACGCTGCTATTTAGAAACACCCCGGTGCTGTTCAAGCCCGATCTTAGATCTGTCCTCACTGCGCATGCGTTCAGGGTGTCATTCCGGGGCTGAGTGTCATTCCATGACAAACAGAACCAGTCGTGGACGCGGCCAGCGTAGGACATCTGAAACATGTTCCACGTGTCAACCATTAAACGTTCACCATTACATCTTGACCATTACATGTTACCCAGGGGTCCGTAACTATGCCGATTACATGCCGGTTATTGACTTATCCTAAATTTTCCTATATAAATAATTGGTGGTCCATTAACAGAATGAAATGTCTTGACATTCGTGGTCCACATAAAGAATAAATGTCTTGACATTCGTGGTCCACATAAAGAATAAATGTCTTGACATTCGTGGTCCACATAAAGAATAAATGTCTTGACATTCGTGGTCCACATAAAGAATAAATGTCTTGACATTCGTGGTCCACATAAAGAATAAATGTCTTGACATTCGTGGTCCACATAAAGAATAAATGTCTTGACATTCGTGGTCCACATAAAGAATAAATGTCTTGACATTCGTGGTCCACATAAAGAATAAATGTCTTGACATTCGTGGTCCACATAAAGAATAAATGTCTTGACATTCGTGGTCCACATAAAGAATGAAGTGTCTTGACATTCGTGGTTCACATACGGAATGAAATGTCTTGACATTCGTGGTCCACATACAGAATGAAATGTCTTGACATTCGTGGTCCACATACAGAATGAAATGTCTTGATATTCGTGGTCCACATACAGAATGAAATGTCTTGACATTCGTGGTCCACATACAGAATGAAATGTCTTGACATTCCCTTGTCGTACAACTGAGTTTACCGAGTTACGATTTATAACTTAACTTGGGCATCCCAAATAATGGGGATTCGAAAAACTTTTTAAGTGTTGAAAGATGTTGACTATTACAACTGGCTTTAAAATGTTAATGACATGACTAAAATGTAGAGGCGTAGCTAAGGGGGTAGGCAGGGGGGGCAGTTGTTCCTGGGCGCCAGATTAGTTAGATGCGCCAGATTAGTTAGCGGCGCCAAAATGTGCTTTGATTTAATTGTGGAAAATAAGGGGTTTGATAGTTGAAAAAAGAAAGGGAGGCTCTTTAAATGAATCTTGTCCCCGGGCGCCAAACAATCTAGCTACGCCTCTGATTCAGTGTAAACACATGTTTAGAGTTTCAGCCTGGATTAGCTGTTTCTTATAATTAATTTAGTCCATGGAAAACTTTATTTTTTAACATAAATTGTTAGACAGTTGAAAAAAAGAATTTACCAGCAAAATTTATAAAATCTCGACTGTACTAGAGATGAGACGAGAGCGGATACTCAGACAGTATAAGTCTATTTCTACATCCCTTTAAGAATGATTCTGATTCTGATTATAGGGTACGTTGGCACATCCATGATCTGGCATAGGTGCAACGGTTTGGGAAATGATGTGGCTATCCTAACCGCTCCTAGCGGGTGTCTCGTCTGTACGAGTTTTGAATCACCGTTTGTTTCCAGCACTTGACCAAACCCTAGTGTAGCGCTGGGTTGCATGTTGAAATATGTCCTTAATAAAGTCGTGTGTGTGCAGCACTTGACCAAACCCTAGTGTAGCGCTGGGTTGCATGTTGAAATATGTCCTTAATAAAGTCGTGTGTGTGCAGCACTTGACCAAACCCTAGTGTAGCGCTGGGTCGCATGTTGAAATATGTCCTTAATAAAGTCATGTGTGTGCAGCACTTGACCAAACCCTAGTGTAGCGCTGGGTCGCATGTTGAAATATGTCCTTAATAAAGTCGTGTGTGTGCGTAGTAATTTAAAAATTTTAGTCCGCAAATTTTCTTATATTGATTGGACAACTCTGCACAAAGCATACTTAACTACATTGCTTACTATTTACCAACCCAACTCAATAGCTATACCAACCTATCCTAGCTAGCATTGCCAACCTCACTCAATAACTATACCAACCTATCCTAGCTAACATTGCCAACCTGAATCAATAACTATACCAACCTATCCTAGCTAACATTGCCGACCTGACTCAATAGCTATTCCAACCTATCCTAGCTAACATTGCCAACCTGACTCAATAACTATATTAACCTATTCTAGCTAACATTGCCGACCTGACACAATAGCTATACCAACCTTTCCTAGCTAACATTGCCAACCTGACTCAATAACTATACCAACTTATCCTAGCTAACATTGCCGACCTGACACAACAGCTATACCAACCTATCCTAGCTAACATTGCCGATCTGACACAACAGCTATACCAACCTATCCTAGCTAACATTGCCAACCTGACACAATAACTATACCAACCTATCCTAGCTAACATTGCCAACCTGACACAATAACGATACCAAACTATCCTAGCTAACATTGCCGATCTGACACAACAGCTATACCAACCTATCCTAGCAAACATTGCCAACCTGACACAATAACTATACCAACCTATCCTAGCTAACATTGCCAACCTGACACAATAACGATACCAACCTATCCTAGCTAACATTGCCAACCTGACACAATAACTATACCAACCTATCCTAGCTAACATTGCCAACCTGACTCAATAACTATACCAACCTATCCTAGTTAACATTGCCAACCTGACACAATAACTATACCAACCTATCCTAGCTAACATTGCCAACCTGACACAATAACTATACCAACCTATCCTAGTTAACATTGCCAACCTGACACAATAACTATACCAACCTATCCTAGCTAACATTGCCAACCTGACACAATAACTATACCAACCTATCCTAGCTAACATTGCCAACCTGACTCAATAACTATACCAACCTATCCTAGCTAACATTGCCAACCTGACTCAATAACTATACCAACCTATCCTAGCTAACATTGCCAACCTGGAGCATGCTCCAGCCCATGAAGATTCTATTGTAGTGGATACAAAACACGATGATCATCTGAAACTTGCCGAATCCACCCAGATCATGGATGAGATCCTCAAAATTCATGTTTGTGGAGTATGGATCACCTTGGTCAGTGACCAGACCTTGTTGAGTTGACGCAGGGTAGCGCCTGGCACTGTTGTTCCATTTAATTCTTTACGTTACAGGTGACTTCAGGTAAGACGCGTAATATAACATTAATAAATGAAGTTTATCACCCAGTCCACGGAGCTTTTCATGGACCACCGTGACCTCTGACCCCACGAAATCAATTACCGTCTGGAAAAATGTCCGATTGTAGTCCAAGAATTTTCTGACGTACTTGGCAATGCAGCTGTCCACGACAAAAACTTTGTATTTTGCGTATGTGATTACATATTGTCATGGGCGCCCGCAGGTAGGGGCAAGGGGGGCACTTGCCCCCCCCCCCCCGATGTACTGGCTAAAAATTTTTAAACAAAAAATTTATTAAAGTAAAAAGAAACAAATCGAGTTTAGTCAAAGAATTTTCTGACGTACTTGGCAATGCAGCTGTCCACGAAAAAAACTTTGTATTTTGCGTATTGGATTACATATTGTCATGGGCGCCCGCAGGTAGGGGCAAGGGGGGCACTTGCCCCCCCCCCCCGGATTGACTGGATAAAAATTTTTAGACAAAAAATTTATTAAAGTAAAGAGAAAATAAAGAGAAAGCAACTAAGCTGATGTCCTGTCCGTTCGTTCACCATACAAATACGCTACAGTAAATTAAAACTATATTAAAACATTACTAAAAAAATTTTGCCCCCCCCCTAGAAAGTTTTCTGCGGGCGCACATGTATATTGTTTTTATTTGTTGATTTCATTATTTACTATTAATACTGGTACTAGTATTGTTGTTATTATGTACATTTAAGTCCAATTTAAACAGAGGTTTTCATCGTAAATTGCTACGGTATGAAATAAATAAGATAAATGAACCAGTTGACGTCAGTTCAGGGGTCATTCCTCTAACGCTCTGGAACCAGCTCCCCTTCCATATCCGTCATTGTGAAACCTCGTCCATTTTCAAAAAGTCCCTTAAAACTCATCTGTTTAGGTCCGCCTATGACCTGTGATGCACCCTCCTTGCCCTGCCTCATTTTCTTTTTCGGGTTGATCCTGAAGTATAGGTCAAAACGTGTCAAAGTGTCCTCGTTTTATAGCCATTTTCATTGTTTCTATAGTATAGTAGTTACTATCCTAGTGTCTCCTTTTTATTTTACTTAGTTTACATGTTTTTTCATAATTGTAAAGCGCTTAGAGCTTTATTGTAAGAGCTATATAAAAATGCCTAAATAAATAACGCGAACACGTCTCTCAGTGGTTTGTTGAAGGGATTCAGAGCGTACATCTCGCAGCAGCCCGGTCACTGGACATAAGGTTCTTGACCATTGCCGAGGAACATTAAAACATTTTATTTTTATTAAGTTCTTTTGACAGACGTGGTCAGATCAGCCATCATGGGATGTAACTTGCTCTTGAATATTGACTTCTCTGACCGCTGTTGATCAGGAAGACATTCTCGAGTGTTCACACTAATGGCCCTGGGGTTAAGGGGGGGGGGGGGTCTTACGATTTACTGTATTAGTGGCATACAGGACGCTTGTGATTGTCAACAACAAAACATCAAACGAAGTGATGACGTCATACATTTTCACGATGACCTCTCCAAATGCTATTGTTCAAATAGAATGTTCATAGTAAAGGCCGACTCATTGAAAGAAAGTTGTTTGAAGAAGCAATATGTTCTTGAACCCTCTTCTATCTATTTAAATTACGTATGTTAAAAGTGAACATACAAGTGCCGGCGTCATCCTGACTTACAATAACTGGACCTGATGTTTTCATGTGGGCTTCATTCGCTACACTTCTCACATTAGAGATGGGAACAATAGTGCAGACACATTTGTTGTAGAAGGGACTCTAAAAATCATCACCCCCTCTTGCCCCTCCCCTCACACCACCCCAGCATTATTTCTCTGTGACTGTACCTTAAAGTGCTGCAGACACATGAATTTATGGGTAAGAGATGTCGTGTCCGTAAAACTAATTTAATCTAGGTGACATTATTTGTTTACATTTACATGCCCGAATATTGACAGAGAATAGTTGGTTGGTTTAGAAGTGGACCCTTGAATGACGCATAGAGCCCACGAAATTGGTGTCCATAAATTACATAAGTTGGTTTAGAAGTGGACCCTTTAATGACGCATAGAGCCCACGAAATTGGTGTCCATAAATTACATAAGTTGGTTTAGAAGTGGACCCTTTAATGACGCATAGAGCCCACGAAATTGGTGTCCATAAATTACATAAGTTGGTTTAGAAGTGGACCCTTTAATGACGCATAGAGCCCACGAAATTGGTGTCCATAAATTACATAAGTTGGTTTAGAAGTGGACCCTTTAATGACGCATAGAGCCCACGAAATTGGTGTCCATAAATTACATAAGTTGGTTTAGAAGTGGACCCTTTATTGACGCATAGAGCCCACGAAATTGGTGTCCATAAATTACATAAGTTGGTTTAGAAGTGGACCCTTTAATGACGCATAGAGCCCACGAAATTGGTGTCCATAAATTACATAAGTTGGTTTAGAAGTGGACCCTTTAATGACGCATAGAGCCCACGAAATTGGTGTCCATAAATTACATAAGTTGGTTTAGAAGTGGACCCTTTAATGACGCATAGAGCCCACGAAATTGGTGTCCATAAATTACATAAGTTGGTTTAGAAGTGGACCCTTTAATGACGCATAGAGCCCACGAAATTGGTGTCCATAAATTACATAAGTTGGTTTAGAAGTGGACCCTTTAATGACGCATAGAGCCCACGAAATTGGTGTCCATCAATTACATAAGTTGGTTTAGAAGTGGACCCTTTAATGACGCATAGAGCCCACGAAATTGGTGTCCATAAATTACATAAGTTGGTTTAGAAGTGGACCCTTTAATGACGCATAGAGCCCACGAAATTGGTGTCCATAAATTACATAAGTTGGTTTAGAAGTGGACCCTTTAATGACGCATAGAGCCCACGAAATTGGTGTCCATAAATTACATAAGTTGGTTTAGAAGTGGACCCTTTAATGACGCATAGAGCCCACGAAATTGGTGTCCATAAATTACATAAGTTGGTTTAGAAGTGGACCCTTTAATGACGCATAGAGCCCACGAAATTGGTGTCCATAAATTACATAAGTTGGTTTAGAAGTGGACCCTTTAATGACGCATAGAGCCCACGAAATTGGTGTCCATAAATTACATAAGTTGGTTTAGAAGTGGACCCTTTAATGACGCATAGAGCCCACGAAATTGGTGTCCATAAATTACATAAGTTGGTTTAGAAGTGGACCCTTTAATGACGCATAGAGCCCACGAAATTGGTGTCCATAAATTACATAAGTTGGTTTAGAAGTGGACCCTTTAATGACGCATAGAGCCCACGAAATTGGTGTCCATAAATTACATAAGTTGGTTTAGAAGTGGACCCTTTAATGACGCATAGAGCCCACGAAATTGGTGTCCATAAATTACATAAGTTGGTTTAGAAGTGGACCCTTTAATGACGCATAGAGCCCACGAAATTGGTGTCCATAAATTACATAAGTTGGTTTAGAAGTGGACCCTTTAATGACGCATAGAGCCCACGAAATTGGTGTCCATAAATTACATAAGTTGGTTTAGAAGTGGACCCTTTAATGACGCATAGAGCCCACGAAATTGGTGTCCATAAATTACATAAGTTGGTTTAGAAGTGGACCCTTTAATGACGCATAGAGCCCACGAAATTGGTGTCCATCAATTACATAAGTTGGTTTAGAAGTGGACCCTTGAATGACGCATAGAGCCCACGAAATTGGTGTCCATCAATTACATAAGTTGGTTTAGAAGTGGACCCTTTATTGACGCATAGAGCCCACGAAATTGGTGTCCATAAATTACATAAGTTGGTTTAGAAGTGGACCCTTTAATGACGCATAGAGCCCACGAAATTGGTGTCCATAAATTACATAAGTTGGTTTAGAAGTGGACCCTTTAATGACGCATAGAGCCCACGAAATTGGTGTCCATAAATTACATAAGTTCAACACAGGTTGATATGAAGCTCCCATTTAAAAGTCATGTACTATGCCATAAGCCTTCATGAGTAGAGCTCTTTCTTTAGTTAAGACATATATTGTCGATAAGTTTAAGGTGTGAAGGAATTGACTCCTATATAACAGCATATATATATTTGAATACCAGAAAATTGCATGGTGGAAACCTAGGTGGCTGGTGGATACCTAGATAGTTGGTGAATACTTAGGTAGCTGGTGCATATCTAGGTAGTTGTGGATACTTAGGTCACTGGTGCATATCTAGGTAGTTGTGGATACTTAGGTCGCTGGTGCATATCTAGGTAGTTGTGGATACTTAGGTCGCTGGTGCATATCTAGGTAGTTGTGGATACTTAGGTAGCTGGTGCATATCTAGGTAGTTGTGGATACTTAGGTCACTGGTGCATATCTAGGTAGTTGTGGATACTTAGGTCGCTGGTGCATATCTAGGTAGTTGTGGATACTTAGGTCGCTGGTGCATATCTAGGTAGTTGTGGATACTTAGGTAGCTGGTGCATATCTAGGTAGTTGTGGATACTTAGGTCACTGGTGCATATCTAGGTAGTTGTGGATACTTAGGTCGCTGGTGCATATCTAGGTAGTTGTGGATACTTAGGTCGCTGGTGCATATCTAGGTAGCAGTGGATGCTCACGTAGCTAGTGGATAACTAGATAGCCGGTGGATACTTACATAGCTAGTGGATACTTAGCTAGTTGGTGGATACTTTGCTGGTGAATCGGGATGATGATGGAGACTATAGCAGAGTATGTAGTTACGGAGTATGTAGTAACAATGTAGTTAAAGAGGATGTAGTGACAATTTAACTTAGAGTCACTTAAATCCATGGACATTTGCCTTGAATCATGGGCAACACTTCACTTGCTATGGATCGTACAAGCTGGCGAGGCAGATTCACTGTTGGAGCACCATCCTCAGAGAATAACCCATGGCAATGAAAAGCAGAATCGACTCAAATCCAATTTGGACCCAAAACAATGTGTGTCTTCTTGCAGGAAATCCTTCCAGGCACAAATAGGACTGGCAAGCCACCGGCATGCTCACTGTTGAATAAAGCCTAAGCCATCTTGGCATGCTCACTGTTGAATAAAGCCTAAGACATCTTGGCATGCTCACCCTTGAATAAAGCCTAAGCCATCTTGGCATGCTCACCGTTGAATAAAGCCTAAGCCATCTTGGCATGCTCACCGTTGAATAAAGCCTAAGCCATCTTGGCATGCTCACCGTTGAAAAAAGCCTAAGCCATCTTGGCATGCTCACCGTTGAATAAAGCCTAAGCCATCTTGGCATGCTCACTGTTGAATAAAGCCTAAGCCATCTTGGCATGCTCACCGTTGAATAAAGCCTAAGCCATCTTGGCATGCTCACCGTTGAATAAAGCCTAAGCCATCTTGGCATGCTCACTGTTGAATAAAGCCTAAGCCATCTTGGCATGCTCACCGTTGAATAAAGCCTAAGCGATCTTGACATGCGCACTGTTGAATAAAGCCTAAGCCATCTTGGCATGCGCACTGTTGAATAAAGCCTAAGCCATCTTGAAAGACAAACAACAGTAACAGTTGTGGAGAATTAATAATTTAGTTAAAGCGGATTCAGTGACAGGAGATGTAGCTCCAGAGAATGCAGTGACAATATAATTACAGAGGATGTAGTGACAAGGCAGTTACACAGCATACAGTAACAACAGTGAGTGTAATTACAGAGGATGTAGTTACAGAAAATGTAGTGACAATATAGTTAAAGAGTTTATCCTTACAGATAATAGTTACAAAGAATGTAGTGACAGTATACTTAAAGAGATGTAATTATTTGTAATGACATAAAATGCAGTGACAGTGAATGACAACTGGTTACATCTAGTCTGACATGTCCAAAGTCTGTTTCATTGCATGCCCCAGCCATCCCACAAACAACACTTTTGTCGTAGTAAAACAGAAACAATGGTTTTATTCACATAAAATTTTGAAATTCTACAGTGTAAATTTTCAAAAGGTCATTAATGATAATATTATATGTACATATTTTACACTGATGAAATACAAAGAAAAATTTGAATTAAATATTTTAAATATTTTTTGTCAATTTCAATTCAGATTAGTCTTCCAAAATTACATGTTTTTCTTAAGGCTTAAGCTGGAAAAATTCCTTCAACTTATTAGATATTAAAGTAACTCAATTTTTATTGTTAAATCAAATGTTATTATTTTTGTTTATCTTTGACTATAATGCATGTGCAAATAATTATATCAGATTGAACAAGTTGAAATTATTTAATGACAATCCCATGTCAATCATGTATCCCTCGGAGCAGATATCCTGTTGAAAATTGTCAAATACTTATTTTATCACTGGCCAATGTGAGTAGCACTAGTAGCAATTGATAACATTACATCAAATTGTGTACAGGGCTTCAAAACAAATTTAACATAACTCTCCAACGTAAATTACTGATAACTAGATTCTGCATGTAATTTTCTGATATTCTCAATATTCTGCATGTCATTTACTGATGTCCTCAATATTCTGCATGTAATATACTGAAGTCCTCAATATTCTGCATGTAATTTACTGAAGTCCTCAAGATTCTGCATGTAATATACGAATGTCCTCAAGATTCTGTATGTAATTTACTGATGTCCTCATACTGTATCTTAGTCAGAACTCTACCAGTCAGTGGGCCCTGAAACAACAAGCAAGGTATAGTTATAGAAGTGTCAACATAAAAACATGGATATTAAAATGACATTTTTTATGTGAAAAAAATGGAACTGTTCCTGTAACTCTATAAATATATCAAACCAATTTTCGTAAATGTTTTTTTCCTTCAAATTTCCCTGTCCTGTAGAAATATTTGTTAAATTACATCAGCGGAAAGTACATTTATTTCAGTGACAACATTAACCTAATTTAGCCTAATGTTTTTAAATGTGGTTTTTTTTGTGTTTTTTTTTTTTTTAGTTATTAGGTTCTTAGTGTCTCCTGAAAATTTGGAAAACTTACCCGTTTATATTTACAGGGATAAATGTTTTAAGTATATAACAAATAGTTCAGATCACAAGCTAAGGGAATTTACAGACATGGGCCGGAAGCTGAATATAAAATGATAAAGTCAGGCAACCATGTGTCATGGCTTAGTCTTAATGATGACTTGGCAGTCATTTAATATGAAGGTTCCAATTGTCATATTGTAAAGTCAAATGTTCTAAATGTTGACCTGTTGTCATGTTCTAAATGTCAACCTGGTTGCCATGTTCTAATGTTGACCTGGCTGTCATGTTCTGATGTCAACCTAGTTGTCATGTTATAATGTCAGCCTATGTGTTAAAGTTATACTAACATGTTTCAGTGTTACAGTGCAGCAAAAGTTTTTCTCATCAATAGCATCCAGAGTTGCCTCCTCCCCTCTGTAAGCCCCATTGACCACCATCACAGACTTGCCTGTGGCACCAGAATAAAAAATGATGTGATTATATTTCTTGTACACAATACACAGTAGGTCATGGGAGAGAAACTAATAGATCATTACATTTACTCTAGAGAAAACATCAATGGAACTTGATGTCACTTTAACAAAAAAATTAGCATAAATTTATCAAGAGCAGTTTATGCAAGTGGGATCCAAACTTTTTTTCACTCAAACCCCCAGCTAACTAGGTTTACCGAAAGCCCCCCCCCCCTCCCGAGTCAAATTCTAACAATTGCACTACAAAATAGCTGGACAAAAATTCAATTAAGTCTTACGTTAAAATAAACAAAACATGTATTTAAGATCAGAAAGCACTGTCTACAGACCATTTGTAGAGGCTTCTGCAAACAGTTACTTTTTAATGTGTCACTGGTTAGAACCAAATCCACTAGATGACACGTTCCAGCATATTAATACAAAAATGGAAATGACATTGCCTTTCTCTATGTAGTACACACTATTTTTATATTTCATAGCACCCTTTGAAGAAGATGCGGCGCCCCCAGGGTGCCGCAGTGCACACACTGGAAACCACTGGTCATGCTTTAAAAAACTGCAGTTTCATTTTACCTTTAACAACACGCAAAGAATCCAATTTTCTGAGACTTTCATACCTATGCCTGGGATAACAGTTTCCACATGTGTCTGGTCCACTTTCAATTTGTCTCCATTGTCAAGCATCTTTATGATGCCTGTGAAAAGATCCTTGACCTCCTGGTTATGAAAAAAACAGAAGAGGGTAAAAGGGTAAATAATTGTTTCTATTGACACAAAAAGACACATTCCCAAAAGTTTATCAATATTACAATTACTTGCTATCATTTTGTGAGTGCTGTAAATGTAAGTTCTTGTACACTGAGCTAACTTGAATAGGTATACTTGTAAGTTTTAAAATATATGCTTTTCAAAAACCATTTTAACAATCACATGGTCACCTAATAAAGTTTTTTTTTTTTTTAATGTAGAAGCAAAGAAATATAATGCACCAATTGAGGGATCCATATGTTGAATGAACGGTTAAATAATGATAGTAGGAAAAGAAAATGCCAAAGCTACCACCAATCTATTCGTATTACATTAATGGACCATTTTCAGTGACTAATTTATATTTATTCCAGAATTTTTAAATCTCAGAATATTAAAAAAAATAATTCCTCTAAAATTTGGCCATGAATAAAATGCCAGTATGCTTTGCCAAAACATAACTGATAAACATAAATATTTGTAAATGAGCCAACATTTTAGACAAAAGTGAGCTTGTTGTTCTTTCAAGGGTTAAGAGAGGCACTTCAATGTATCTTTCACTCAGAATATGAAAGGAGAAATTCTGTTTTATTGTCAGCATCAAACAATTATTTCTGTATAAATTGCTTTGGTTAAATTTTCAGTTTAACTGTTACCATCTTCTAATAACTATAATCAACTGGAGAAGCAAATTGAGCAAAAATTAAACTTACCTTAACTACTGCCTTCTTTTTGTAATATTTTTCTCCTAGCTTTTTATGAATGACCTTGACAACAATGCCTGGCTGCAACCAATAGTCTTTACGGTTAATTTTTTCCTTCTTCATCTCTTCAACCTAAATAAATAATGACATACCATTAAAATGATTTCTCAGGAAAGGACAAACATCAGCCCTTTTAGAATTATTTTTTTTAAAGATTTACTTCATTTTCAATAATCAAACTTCTTAGGAAAAATGGATGTTAACTCTTTGAAAGCAATATCCTTATTGTAGTAATAGATGGTGTGTCATAAGTGGTGAGATGTCAGTAATTATGAAGTATTTGTGAAATGTTTATTGAGAGATGTTCCCGATATTGTGTAGGGTGGAAGAAATGCATTTCGGGGAGTGGGAAATGATTGTATCCGGAGATCCAGGTTCCTGTTTTTCCTTATATGAGCTTAACAAATTTTTTAAAATCATGATTTTGCGCTGCAGCTAGGTCAGTCATAGATGTTTAATGTATGTTTTTATTGGTGCAAAAAAAAATAAAGGTCTTTCCTGTGTGAGGTGCTAAGATAGCTTAGAGTGTTAATTTATGTTGCAAAGGTCACGAGCTAGTGAGAGGAAATACCACCGAGAGCTAAGTTGTTTTTCTTTAATTTCTCAAACATTGCACAATAGACTCTTACCTCCATAATTTCATCTAAGGCAGTCTTTGCTTTTCTCTTTTCTGGTTTACTGGTAGAAGAATGTTTTGTCTTTTCTAACTTTTTCTCTGTTGCCACAAGAGGATTAGTTGATGTGCTTGCAGTTATACTAGATAACAAAAGCAAAAAAGAAATGTTTTATTAAATGTTAGAATAACTGACCTTAATTGCCTTGGGTGCAGGGTACCAATGTGTATGATTAAATTGTATACTTTAAAACTATGAAGAACATATTTAATTTTATAATCTTCATCACATTTACAAATCTGCAATCTTTACTATTTTCATTTTCTGAATTAAAAATACATAATTTTTAAACCTAAATTATACCCTTTGCTATAACAAAAAACAGGAAATTAATTAATTGTGCACCCTAAAAGGTAAGTCTTCACAATGTAATTTTCTATTGATTTATTTGTTGGCTTGGAATTTTTTTACAACTCACTCAGGTTTTTTTATAACAGGATCCAACTTCTTTGCCGCTCCAAGATTAAAAGCAATTTTTTCTCCTTCATCTTCCCTTTTGAGGTCAGTGAATTGCACCTCTTCTTTAGGAGTAGCACTCTCTTTAGCCCTTTCTATCTGCTTCTCAATAAATTTTGAGATTTTCTCATCATCATCTGCATCCATTTTTTCCTTTGCTTTAACTGCCTCTTGTCTACGTATGGTTTCTGGGTCCCTGTCTATGTAGGTTATGAACCAGCCTTTCTCTGTGTAGTCCACTATACATTTTCCTAAAAACAACAGTTAAATCATTTAAAAAAACAAAATATTACATTTTTTAAAATAACTATGTTATGTAGAGCATGTTTACAACACTTTCCTCGTGCGTGCACTCTGGTTGACCCCACATGAGACACTAATTTCATAGATGGGCGTGGCTTAGTCTTTTGATATGTCGTTTTTATTGCCGACAGCAATTAAAAATAATTAGTTTGTTCTCAGTGGTGTTTTGTTGAATGTTCGCTAATGTATTAGAAAAGTAAAGGCGTTTCTGGACGCGTCGGTAGACCCACAATATAAATAAAGGGTTTCGGAGAGAGGGAAACAGATTCAGGCAGAGATTGAGATAGACGGAGATAGATATTATTAACTTTATGAGACAACTGTATTATTCTTTGTGTGCTCATATGTGTTTATTCGCATTCATCATTATTAATTGGCACATTGTACTAATTGTGTACCGGTACAAGATTTTCCGATACTTTGTAAGTTGATGATTTGCAATTATATTTCTTTTGTTTTGCAATCGTATTATTACTAAATTAAATTTTTTAATAATTGTAATTTGAACTGTTTTGGGAGTCGTAATTTTGTTATGGTATTTCTCTATGGTATCATCCTCTGTTAGGCACTGTTTGAACGAGCCATAACTTAAAACAAAAAATTAATTTCTCACAAGAGAAGCCAGTGCGTAACAACTACATGTATGTATTATTTGAGCTAACCACAGATGGGAGCTGCTTAAACTATTCTTATATATTGCAAAAAGGTTAATTATTAGCTTTGGATATTTAGGTGCAACGATCTCCTGCACCTAACACTATTTCAAAGCTATTTTATAAATTTATTCTTTTAAATATTACTGACAGAAGTTTGAAAAGAATTTTGTATAGAGTAAAATCTAAGACAAATGCATGACTATTATATCATACTGGTACACAGATATCACCATAAAACAAAATCTAGATTACATTTACAGCATTTGAGAATCATTGAGTTATTGTTCCCAATTTGTTTTTCAAATAACGCTAGCAACCAAATGCGTCTAGAGCAAAGAACATTTCATAATCTTTAAATTTAGAAACAGTTGAGTAGATACCAGCAGAAGATATTCTATGATAAGAGCAAACTAACATTTATTGATTTTAATAAATTTTATTTTTGTAATATAAACAATTTATAGTGTTCAAGGATATAAAAAAAAAATCACCTTCTTTTCCTAAATATTTAACAAAGTCGGTAAGTGTCTCCCACTGTGTTGAATTCATGTGTACATGCTCCCTGAAGGCAATGTATTCCTGGTAAACAATGTTGGCATTTACTCGTTTGGTGCCAAATCTGCGGCGCAACAACTCAAGGTATTCATCCTCAAATTCCCTGTGATTAAAGTGTGTAACTGTAACACGTATTGATTAAATATAAACAATTGTGCACTAAAATATTTATAAGTGTTCCTTTTGGTCATAGATGTATGATGAAAAATATTTTTTATAAAACCCTTGTGTCACTAGTATACTAAACAAATAATAAAATTCCTACTAAAACATTTATAAAAATTACTTAGTTATAATGCTAAGTGAATGTTGTGTGGAACTAGTCTTTGTTCACCTTGCATTGTGTCAAGCCGTGACATGCAAACCTTTGTTTTTGTTACTGACACCACCAATTTACTTGGTGACATGTGCTGCCACTCCTTTCCTCTAATGCCCTTGATTAGGAAAGTTTGTTTACGTTTCCAGAAGGGTCTACATAGTGGGGGGAAAAACCCTCTGGCAATTGAAGTTCTAGACTTACTGTTCTGGAGGGTTCATACTTCTTCACTAGATACAATGGTTGACTGACAGGCAGACTTATGAGACCCTACAAAACTTAAATTTTTGTTTTTACACTCTGTGTGTAATAATATTTGAGCCTTTCTAGTATTGTTCTAGTATTTTTCTGCTGTAAGTTAATAAAATTTTTATTCCTGTATAGTTTGATTTTTTTTTATATCAACATAATAGTATGATTAAATTGATTATTGTTAATTTCACTAGCTTTAGTAACGTTTTTCTTTGGTTTTCAGTCCTTTGTTTCGTATTGTTCCTCTAACGAGCACTGTATATTTTTGTTACAATACAATGTACTTCAAAGTCAAACAAAAACTTACTGTGAAAATCCATCAATATGTTTATCAGGATTCTCTGCAAACAAAAGAAGTTGCCTTTGATGAGACTCTGATGTGAGATGGCACTTGAATCCATTCTGCAATTGGAATTGAATTAAATTACATTTTGTAATAAACACAAAAGATTGAGTGACTTATTTTGGATAGAACAAAGCTTAATTTTTTTAAACAACAAAGTTTATTGAAGTTCAAAATGTTGGTACTATTCACCTCATCTCTGCATTGTTTCTGACACATCTGGCAGTACCATCGCAATTTTTGAAGCCCTTTAGCTTTGATTCTGTTTGCTATTGCTTTGGGAGTAAGAAATCCTGGCTTTTCTTTACCCATGATCTTTAGTGAAAGTCTTGGTTTCAGTTAGGAAAGTAACTGAAAAATATTATATAGGCTGATTAAATAATAATTTGAATGCATAACAGACTGTAAAAAGACATAAGTGATAGTTGGTATACTTAATCAAAAACTTAGATTTAGATTAGAACTAATCCTAAAATAAAAGGTCAAGTTCTGCAATCTGCGCCATGACGTGTGCCTGAGTAGGATTCTCTCGCTTTTGTTCATTCTTGAATTGTTACTACAGTTAAATTTTCTTAAATATGATGACGGAATATTTTAAATTAAAATTTCATTGGTTGGTTAATTATAATATTTAAATTTTCCAGCATTTGGAAAATGGGTCTAATATTTTATTGTGTTGATTTTCTGACAACTTTTGGATTTTCTTTTTGGTGGAATGTGAAATAAAGTGTGAAAAAGTGTATTCTGTGAAACTGTAAGATGGGTTTTTATAAATTTAAAAATAATTTTGTATTGTTTTTCTTCATTTTTAGTTTTCTTACCACGACCACGGTGTGTAACTGTAGCCGCAGGAAAAGGAGCAAGTACCCGCTGAAATTACATGAGGGAAAGGGGGCAACCGTATGTCGTTAACACTTCTTGCCGCATATCTAGAGGGATACAATAAAGTAGCTTCACTTGCCATGAAATTTATGTACCTACCAGCTGAAATTATTTAAATTTAATAAAATATTTTAATGTTTTGTTCCTATTTTCGTTTCCCTCTGTAAATAGCTAAACCAGCACATTGTCTCCTGACACTCCTGTTCCCTCCACATTTTTTTAGCAGACAAGTGTCATGGGTCATGGCATCCAAGATGGTGGCCGTGAGAAACGTCATAGCAAGGATTGCGTAAATTTACCAAGTAAGGCTAAAAACTAAAATTTATTCTAAATGGAGTCTAGGCTTAAACTTAAAAATTGATAAAAATAAGGAACTTTAAGTCGCACTTAATAACAAAATACAAACAGTCCTTCTAGGCTTACTAGGGAATAATATTACAAACAGTCCTTCTAGGCCAAGTGCAAGCTAAACAGAACACTATTACTGAATTATATATATTACTAATTTACTACGGTACTTTCATTTTTTTGGGGCATAATCAGAAATTGGGGGATCCTCCGAAGTCCGGTCCCAAATTATTTCGTATGAAAAAAATTGCAATGCACAGTGTCTATTGTTATAAAACAGCAGAAATGTCAGTCATAGCGTTTGCAAATAACTGTCACTTTAAAAACCAGTCAGTAAATACTAAATGTTGTCATTGGCGCATAGCATTTGCAAATAGCAGCCGAAACGTTCTGCTTGTGACTTTGCGCCACTGAAGGCTCCAAGTAGCTGGCAAACAGACCGCGACTAGTACCACTCTGATAGCGGAGTTTGCGTTTCGCTTGCATCCAAAGTCCTTCAATAATTTATGTGTGAATGTCCTGGTCTACTGGATCAACAAATTCACGCGCCTGCACAATGACAGCGTGAGCATAAATCCCGTTGTTGAGCTGACCGACATTTTGATATCTTCGCCAAGCGTCCGTGACGATAGTTGTCCCTGGTAACACATGATTAGTAGTGATAATGCGCTCGAGTGTTTGTGCATCTCGACGGCCGACAGCCTCCATCCAACATCGCCCACTAACACAAACATGAATTTCAAAACAGAATGATGCCCAAGACTTATAAGTAAGGAGTAATCACTGAAAATAATTTGGGACCGGACTTCGGAGGATTGCCAGAAATTGCTCCAAATTCAAAGACTTATTATCTCAGTAATTTATGACTTGTTTCCTTAATTTATGTCAATTTCTTCCAAAAATAATACATATATTGACACTCACAAAAATCCGTATACCTGAACTCAATCAGAAAAAATAACCCATGCCCTAAACTAAACGCATAGATGGCATTAAGTTTGTAAACAACTCCTATTTGACTGGAATGGTGGAAGCGGAAATTGGACGTAGTTAAATCTACTTTTCTAAACTTTACTTTTTACCGAGATGACTTCTTTGTTTTTACCGCTGTCAGGTAGAATTTGTTTCAATTTATCTTTAAAAGGATTTCTTCTAAGACACTTTTTTTAAAATAATTTTTTTAATCGTGGCTGATAACGTTAATTTTATACTAGAAAAAGTTGCCCTCTTCCTTTACAAAGTATAGGAGTACACAAAAAAGGCGATGATAGAAAGTTCGAGTAGAGAAAAAATCTATTAACCGGAAGATAAACGTATCATATAAATGCGAAAAACAATCTTCGATCTGAACTTTTCCATATCAATGATGTCAAACTTTTGAAACTGCTTTTTTTCTCCTTTTCTATTTATTTACTTGGGTTGCATTTTTTAAATATCATAAGATAAATTAGGCCTCTATCACATCCTTTTGATATTTCTAGAGAACATAGATTGTATTAACTGAGATGTAAATCATTTTAAAATAATAATAATAATAATAATCCTCAAAATAATGCAATAGTCGAGATATTTTTTTAAATCAACAATTTCATAAACTAAGGGGTCATCCATAAAAGACGTCCACACAAAAGGGGGAGGGGGGGGGGGTTCAGCCAAAAGTGGACTAACGTGGACAAAGGGGGGGGGGGTTAGGGCAAAGTGGATTTCCACATTGTAGTGGGTTTTTTTAAGTGCAGACGTTTTGCATAAATTTACTGTAAATTTACTGCCCGATCACAGTTACAGTAGCATGCCTTTTGATCTCTATTGTCCATCGGTGGCTGGGAGAATTCCCAAGAGAATATGTTTCTGCGGTAAATATTTCCCATCACAGGCGGCAATGAAAAAACATAAGGTCGTCCATTGCAATATTCCTGCTAGTGAACATAATATGGCAGACGAATCAGACGAAGAGACTGCCACTCAAATTGAATTAGCAATTGAAGACTCAAGAACAGATGTTGTCATTATACGAAACATGTTTGAATGGCTGCAGTCCGAATTTTCCGTTGATTGAAG